CACTGAATTCACTATGGATCCAATAAAGCTCTAGCCCCACCACAAATAAACAGATTTTAAAGGCAAGCAGCATACAAAAATATGTAAGTTGAAAGCCTGAGTGTAACCTCAAAAGCACTGCTGCCTCCTTTTCCTGAGTCTGATCCGTCTCACCCATGGAATTTCAAATGAATCTTATTTTTTTCCAATCTAATTTTAACAGCAAGGAGTTTTGATCATCTTTCACAGGACTGTGTTATAAAATTGGTGTTGAGAAATACTGTCTATGAAGCGCTTGGAGGCTCTTTATAGTAAGCTTTAAAGAGCTTCACACCAAATCATCAAACAGAATCATCAAGGGAGTTACTGGGTCAACTACACATGTTAAACAAATATCATGGGATTACAGTACTTAAAATCCACAACCTTAAGTTTAAAATTTAATCATAAAATTAGCATTTAACCCATGATTTCTTTTCATAAATTTTTATATAAGAAACCCGAAAAAGTACGAGACTATTTTTCACACCTTATATTCACAAAGTATTCAGAAGTATTCAAAAATTATCCAGGTTACCCGAGGGAGGGTGTAGCTCAGTGGTAAAGTGCATGCTAAACGAGGCCCTGGGTTCAAGCTCCTGTACCTCTGTTAACAAAGAAACAAGTAGAATAAATAAATAAACCTAATGACCTCCCTCCCCTCAAAAAATCACTGTAAAAAAAAATTATGCAGGTTACCAGTTTTTTCACCTCATCACCACCATGAGCTGATCTTTTATATTTGCTTGAACAGATCAGACTTTCACATGTGAGCACTACCTCACATCATCCTTGGTAGGTTGGAAATATTCGAAGGAATATTCGAAGGAAATATTCTTGGCCCTCCCCTGTTCTCCCTATATTGTTCCTTAAGAAACTTGCTGACTTACAAGGTTTTAATTTTGAAAGTCAGGGTCTTACATAATGCAAATACTCAATTTTTAAGAGAATTCATGAAGACTGATAACTGTGGTAAATGTTGGGGTGTCAACCCAACATTTTGTGCTTGGTACCCCAATGTTTACTCCACCAAACCCCCATTAGTTAGCAAGAGCATGACTGGGAAGTTGAGCTTCACTTAAGGAGGCCCCTTGGTTCAAAGATGGGCAAAAAAAAACGCAGGCAGGACCAATGAGAAGACAAGGCTTCTGTAAAGTTCCCCCTACGTACTGAAGGGCAGTGAAGGATCAGTCTGTCTTCCCAGGGAACATGAACAAAAAGCCTGGAGCCCGTCAGCCCTCTTGCAACCATGGCCGTAACCAGGCCTTAGGATCAGCCAGCGCTGGGAGGGCCAGACAGCCGGAGATGAACAGTGTGGGTCTTGCGTGACACTACTAACCTGCAGGATGAACTGACCCTCTTGACTTTCTCTCAGGTGAGGAAACAGGCTTACGTTTAAGTCAATTTGATCATGCAAATGAACAAACTCTAAAGGACATTTCTTTCTCCTATAAAGTAAGGGAGGCATTTCGGTGGGTAGTGGGTTGATCCCAACTCAGAAGTGGTATTTTGTTCCTTCTGCACGCTCCATCTGCTAAGATTGCATCTGCCCTTCAAGATGCAGTTCAAATACCAACTCTGCTGTGAAGTTGCTTCAGTTCCCTTCGTGTAAATGTCTCGTGGATTCCCACATGCTGCATTCTCTCATAGCCCTGGTCTTTTCTGCCAGGCACGTGTGCCTTTCCCTCCGTGAGTGCATTCATCAGATACACTCTCTGCATGTTTCATGACAAGAATCTGAACGCTTTCTACCTGTCCTATACACGTGAATTTTAAACACACATTAGGTTTCTTTTAAATGCCATTTTCACTGGCATAAACTGGAACTTGCCTTGGCATAGTCCTTTTAATGCCTCTTCCGGATTGCAAGGATTGAGGTTCGAGTGCTGAAAGAGACAAATAAAACCCCGACCCTGACATACCCTATTAGATATGTCTCTCAGCTCTGTCAGGCAGAACTTAGGATTCCATGCCTGTTCACTGGCATCTAGCTAGTTTCTTTCTTTCCTCTTTTTTTTTGGCTAGTTCGCATTCCATGATATAAATGAAAATTAAGTAGAATGCCAAGATTACATTCTTGAACAGGACAAATTTAATTTTCACGCTGAATTCAGCACTGCAGAGGCCCCAGGTTTTCATGGCTATAGAGGGTAAAACCATCCTCTCCCCTTCTCTTCTGTCATGCCTACCCAGAAAATAAAACCATTTGATTTCTCAAAAATGTTGAAGAAATCATCCCTTCTCTCTACTCCGCTCACTCACTCCTCCCCATCGGGGGGAAGAGTGAGAAATACTACATCTTTGGGACAGACTGAATGTTAGAATTTGCCTTCTTTGACCTTGGCTTTTGACTGCTTGCCCACAGGCCATGCACCATCCTCTCCCCTCTGTATGGTTCTCCCACAAACATAGAGGACAAAGAGCTCTTCTCTTGGCTACTCAGTGGTTAAGCTCAATTTGAGTAGGAGGAAGTAGGGTGTTTGCCAGCAGAAATGAAGCTGCTATTTTTTATCCCTGCCTCTTGTAAAGGTTCCCAGTGGACCCAGCACTCTGAGGAAAGAGAGGATTATTCCTCACCATACACACACATATGCATACACACACACACCTCAATGTGTAGACCAAAGAAATCAGTGGCTAGAGAATACATCTGTACCGACTGCCTCTTTAAGTCAAGGATATAAAGAGGTAGTTTTCAAGAATATTTATGAAATTTTTAAATGTAGAACTTCCTTATGTCTTAATCTGGCATCTAGACAGCAATTTCTGACTTGGCCTCTCCCTGCTTCCCACAAAGGATACATGAAGACATTGAAAGTGATGAAAATCCTTAAGACAGAGATCGAACGCTGGCAACACTAGACTCTGGTGGTGTGGGGAGTGTGTGGAATTTCAATCAGCTACTCTGACATTGAACTATGGATCATATTTATGAAACAAAGCTTGTCTGTAGCGTGAAATAAGGCAGCGTGACCATGGCTTGGACCTCAGCTGAGAGACCCAAAGTCTGTGTACCAGAACTCAGCAGAACCGAACTGCCACCCAGTTGGCTGGCTCTGCCCCTGGAAGCAGCCCGTGTACTCCAACCCCAGCACCTTTCTGTCCATGACCTTCTGAGGGTCCCCCAGAAACTACAGGGCAGGTGGTGAAAGGGAAGCACCACGTGGGTCAAGGGAACTCACAACACACTGGGCAGCGCAGTTCTGGCTCCTAACATATCACGGGGAATTTATACCCCTAATACAGAACATGCCCTGGGGGTGGCTTTCCAAGCCCTCCTTCAGTCCATCCCTCTGGGTAAACAGACAGAAACATCAGGACAGTGAGAGGCTGCTAGGCACCGGAAACTGGTTAGGAACTGTATGCATGAAAGCCCCCTCAACTGAGTATCTGAGGTGGTCAATCCACCAACACCATAATGTGGTGAGAATGAGGCACTGGCAGATTATATAGCGTGTCAATGTATCGCGAAGGTGAAGCAACAGAATTTGGTGATGGATTGGATGTAGCATGAGAGAAAGGGAAGAGTCAAAGTTTAGTGTTGTCCTGAGGAGCTGAACGTGGTAAGGTGGCGGGCAGACAGCCACGGGGACAGACCTGAAGCTTGTCTAAGCTGGTAGCATCTTTCTGGAAACCAATTTGGCAATATGTATCATGAGAGCCTTAAAATGATTAATCCTGAGCCAATCATCGCATGCCTATGAAAATAAATATAAAGAAATAGATATGATCATGGGGAGTCCATCATAATTCATATTAGAAATATATATATATAAAACTATATTCTATATATTAAAATGCTAAATATCAGAAACAATTGAGATATACATAGTAGAGAAATTATCAACTAAGTATTAATAGAACAAAACAATGGAGCACTATGCAACCAGTAATAAAAATAAATAGAAATGATTTTAAGAACATGGAAAAATTTACAATCCAGTGTTAAGTAGGAACACAGGAACTATGTATGGAATGAGTGCAAACATAGCTTTTGTCTTTGAAGTCTGGAATTGAGAATTCTACTCCTTATGCTGTAGGCACTTGATAAATTTTCATCAAAAAACACACATTACCTTAATAATCAGAAATAAAGAATACTGAACAAAAATAAAAACAAGATGGGGGAGGGATACATTGGGAGTTTGGGATTAGCAGATGCAAACTACCATATACAGAATAGATAACAAGGACCTACTGTACAGCACAGGGGAGTATGTTCACTAGCTTATAATAAACTATAATGAAAAAGAATATAAATATACGTATAACTGAATCACTGTGCTGTACACCAGACACTAACACAACATTGTAAATCAACTAAACTTCAGTAAAATAAATAAATAAAAATGGGAACTAAATTTTTAATTGGAACTTCATATATTTCTAACCTATTCCAGTATGGTTTTCATATCCTGAAATTCTCTACTCCAGTTTCATTATTATAAAGGATCCAAGCACTTTATGTTTTTGCTCAAAACACAGAAAGTTTTATATTCTTGCACACTCACTCCAGATTTCTAAAACATTAGAGTATATATTTTTTTGCCCTATAGATTTTCTAAACTTACTGTTATAGTCTCCTTTTATCACTGAAGAAACAAAAGAATATGTAAAGATTCTATGCACATCATCCAACAATTTACCATTCACTTTACCTCTTACCATAAAAATTCATTGCATTCAAAAACAACTTTCCAGCAAAAATAAAAATGAAGTTCCTTGTTAAAATTTTCCCAGAAAAACAGTATCATGATTACAGTGATACTTTCCTGGATTTCATATATATATATGTATATGTATATTATATGTCACATCTTGTCATTGTATAGTTTAAATATGTGCAGTTTACTGTATGTCAACTTGTACCGCAGGAAAGATGCTAAATAAAATATAATATCCAGAAAAGTCACACACTGAAACATGATTAAAAAGGTTGGAAGGACAGTCAGACAGACACACAGAAGAAAAGGAACCACTCCTTGAATGCATCAGCAAGTTTATTTACAAATGCAGTTGAACAGAAAGGTTCACTAGTTTCTGGAGAAAGCCTCTGGCATACAAACCATGATGATCTTCCATGAATGAAAAGAAGCAACTTTCTACTGGGAACTGCTTAGCGACAATTCTGGTGAAGAAAACAGAGCTCCCCTCATCAAGCAAGTAAAATGTTAGGTAAGTTAAAAAAAAATTATAATTGCAATATTACATAGATGAAAAGAAGGATACAGAAAGCAAATTTGGGGATGGATCTCAGTGAAATTTTCCACATGGTCCTGCATTAATTTAGCATACATGACAATAAACAGAGCAAATGCAGTGACATATTTATATTAACTATTTCAAATAATGTTTCAGAACCGATAAAAAAAAACAATAAAATAACCCTCTTCAGAACACCACTAGAAAGTCAAATTAGATCATTATCGGCCTCAAAAATATTTTGATGTTCTTATTTTTTTCCCTGGTGCTTTGAGGATGCTGAATTCAGAAAGGAAATACTGTACTTCCCCCAACACACACACACACACATACATAATTACCTTCTTATAAATAAACAACAAAAATACAGGTTCTACCAAGAAAGAGTATAATGCTCTGAGGTACTCTAAAGAGGCCAGGAAAAGTGTTATTTCTTAATGAAAAAAAAAAAAGCAAAAGGACATACAATAGACATTTATAGATCTAAATCAGCAGCAACCACCTCTTCTTCTATCTGCAACAGTGCTTTCGTGTGGAGGCTTACATCACATGGCGGTTGGCCGTCCAGCTGATCAGGCAAGGAGAGAAGAAAGAAAAGTGCTTAGATACAGAAACACTGCAATATTGCCACCTGCGATAGGTAGCAGTCACCACGCAGAGAACAACCCCACAAGGTAGAGAGTAACCTTGTTACTCACTTAGGCTAAAGCAAGGCAAAAAATCACAGCCTCCCGGTTTCTGGAAGTCCTCATTTGCAAAAAAAAAATGGAGAGAAAAATGAACTGCTGATATAGAAACAAGTTACACTCAACTCTCTGTTATTTGTACTGGAGGAGAGAAAAGGCATGGGCAGATTTCTCTATGATGATTCCAAAAATCAATTCTATTTGGCTTTGGAATGTTGACTTGAGAGAAAGGCCCACACACATACACACGCTCCCCGCACCCCTGCTCCATGCCCAGCCTTGGCACTCTCCAACCTCCGTGGTGGAATCCAGGAAGGCACTTGACCACTGGGGTAAGGAGGCTCAAAACACGCCGACAGATAAAAGAGAGTTGACTGGGCTTAAGCCACTTCCAAAGCACTCTTCACATGAAGGCCATACAAATACCTCAGAGCTCAAAAGCATATGGTTTTGCTGATACCACTTGTAACAAACACCCTTTCACAATAAGGAAGAAACATATGTTACCAGCATCAAGGATCAAAATATAAAAAGGAGTAATGGTTTTCTTTATGTAGCTATGAACAATATGCAGCCTATGTTTTATAACATACTTAGATGAAAACATGCTTAGACACAAAGTAGCATGTGAAGTCTTCAAAAAACTAAATTTTTCCAAAAATGACACTGAAACACTGAAACACTGAATCAGAATTAATGCTCTCCTTTTTAGAATATTATATATATTGGTGGTCTGTTTTATATAGCAACAAAGCATAAACTGACTATTATCTTTTTAAACCACTGTTTTCAAAGTTGGTCATATTCTAAATCATATAATCAAAGCCCAATGGTAAATAACAGAAATCAGCTAATGATGAGGGGCCAATCCTTAGCCAAGAAACAGATTAGAGTCTATATAGAAGATTCATTTGAATGGTCTATCTCAGTTTATTGGTCTCTTTGAGTCACTAGAAGTTTCTCCAGACCCTGAGCAGACAGCACCGCGCACTGTCCTGACTCTCCAGTTCCTTGTCCCCACAACCCCTCTCTCATGTGGCTGGAACCCTGAGCACTGACCCACTCACTGGACCCTCTGTGAAGGGGACACACTGAGGTTCCTAAAACCTGGACTTCTAGGGCAGGGAGCTTGAAGGGGAGAGGGTCGCAGGCTCAAGGAAATGCATGGGAGCCCGCGGTCTCCGTAAAAGGCAAGAAATTTTCTCCCTGATTTGCTCTCTTACATTTGAATCTGAGATAGCAGTCATTGCAGTACAGCTGGCTGTTTCGGATTCTGACTTCGGCTCCTGAGGAAGAGCCTCCGAGGTCCCGCTCACAGGCCGTGCACTGGGAGACAAAAGAACAGAAACAAGAAAAGGAAACATCCATACTTAGCTCAAGAAAGCTTGGGGCACTCGCAGAAGGGAGAAAAAAAAAACTGAGCAAAATGCAGCCTCTAAGCTCTTAGATATATTTCAGCAAAGATATTTAAAAAAAAAAAAAGGCCAAAGGATAATTAGATTAAAATGAAGCCTGCTAGATGAGACATTAAAGAATTCATAAAGCCAATTCTCAGAGCCAAGATTTCATTCTAAATATACCAGGAAAGTAGAAATGATTCGTTGATTGGCTTAAAGAAATTGAGTCTTCCTTTCTCCCAGGAAACTGGCAGAGGACAAAGCGCCCCAGGAAGCAAGCAGCAGACGGAGGGCGGGAGGGAGGGAGGGCAGGAAGACTGGGTTTCTGGCTCTCCGTCTGGGCTGGGCATCCCCACAGCGCTGATGTGGCAAATGTTCACACGTGCGCTTTCCCTTCGAGGCCAGGGAGTTTGATTCCATGTGCTCAAACAGTAATTTGCTCTGCCTGGGAACAACCCAAGCCAGAGACACACAAGCTTAAACAAGCTGAGGTCCGCAAGACTCTGGGATCAACAACTGGACCAGCCCAACACAAGTTCAATAAACAGATGTGTTTCTAAAGACAGATACTGCAAAATAAGCTCACTAGATAGCTTTACTTCTTTCTTATGTGCAAGAACCCCTCAGGTGCAAGCAGGCTGTGCAACTGAAAAAGCATTTGCAAAATTTTCCCTTCCCTGCTCTCCCTATTCATAGCTAGACTTTTGGACACTTATAATTGCCCATCCCCATGCTGTTAATCACCTTGGTGAGCTACATTTTAAATATGCCTATGATGGCATCTTAGAGAAAGCATTTATGCACCATAAATTTTACTTACAGAATCTTAGCAAATGAGATAGGAAGTGCACAGTGCTTCCAGGCTTAATTTTTGAAACCAGGTTCAAGGTTGGAGAACACAGTGGCAGAAACAGGCAGTGTGTGATTCCAGGTGCAGCACAGACCGACACAGCCAGCGCCTAGCTTGTTAGTGGCATGTCCACACCCAGCGCTCGCCAAGAAGCCATGCGCTCTCCCAGCCAAGCGGTGCGGGGCCTGCAGGCTGTGCGGCTCGGTCTCACCTTAAAACAATGTAAATGATAACAAAGACCCAGGGACTCGATGATCATGGCGGCTCCTCTGCCCAGAATGTTATCGCAGTAGGAACACACGCGCTTCCCACTGACCGACCTAGACACGGGACAAGGACAGGAGGCTTTCATCGGCGCAGCTCAAGGTTCTTATTTAAAAATCACAATCTGGTGTTAACATGGATCATGGTTCTCCAGAAAGTCTTTATGTGTCTGTGGGAGGAAAACGTCCACCAGCCAACTGAAGCATGCCCCAGTTATACTGGGCCTCGAAGGATCTCTGTGATGGCTCTGGAACCCTCGACACCTGTTCACACATGTGAACAGTTCCGGCGGCATCAGTCCCCCCTGCACTTCATGACACTGTCCCCCTCGGACCACACCTGTACTCAGCAAACCTCCCTCTCCTCTCATCCAGCCGACACCTTCTTGCCAGGTAAACCCACCAAAGCTCAACCTGAATCGTGTCGTCCTGCCCATCAGAACAGCAGCCCCAACCTCTTCCAAGAGGCACTGCAAGTCTGTTCAACCTACTGTCTCAACCTTATTTTCTCATTTACCAGATATTCTAGTTAAGCAGAAGTTATCAGTGCTTCCCAGACTGTGCCTCTGGCTTGCAGGACTGCCTCTGTGTAGAACGAAATGAAAGCTGCCTGCTTGACAGCTACCGTTGAGACTGGGAAGGTGAGTTTCTCCTTTCCTTTGCTTACAAGTCTTATCTCCTCTCCCAGGCGGAAAGGTGAAGGCTACTTCTTATCTTTGCAGCCACAGGACTGGCACAGCACTTCAGTGACACTGAAAAGGGCATAGGTGTCTCATGGGCACCATGCGCTCTAGACAGAGAACTTTTCAGGGCAGAAAAGCCCCCAGCCCCTTCTTTCTGCTTTCTGAGGGTTGGGTTCTCAGTAAGGGAATAGGTTCTCTCTCCTCCCTCCCCTCTCCCATCTCTATGGCCCTCATCTTCCCTCCAAATTTACCCTAAGTCCCCATCCCTTCTCCTAATTCAAACCCCCTGATACATGTTCTATATATCTTGACACAGTAACATTTTAGCTGGATATAAAATATCTTCATGTAACAAAATCCTTTAATTGATAGCTAAAAAAAAAAAATCCCAATATTAATCATTGTGTTTCCACTTTGCAGGATTTCATTGGTGACCAAAGACAGGATATGCCAACAGAAGTCCCTTCAGGTCTCAGCAGAAACACTGCTGTATGTGGCGTCGGGAGGCATCACCGATCTGTGGAGAAGCCACAGAGATCTAAAGCTCTGCACACGTTGATCATCTGAGCTTTAGTCCAAACCAAAAGGCAAGTGTCACGATCATTCACTGTAACGCTTAGCGTTCCTGCAGCAGATGACCTGCAGAACTCAGGTGAGGTTGTCTGACCAAGGTGTCAGCAAATCAGGTAAGAGACAAACAATGGTTTTGGAATTCAAAAACCCCCCAAAGCATTATCTGGCTTAAGATTTTTTTTGTTTTGTTTTTTAATCTGCCTCCTTAAAAGTTCCACAGATGATGGAGCTTGGTGATAAGGTTTTCCTTCTATGCTCAGTTCCTATAAAATGAGTTATAACATAGTCTCATTAAAGCTGTCAGACCTTTTCTAATATGGCTTTTACTCATAAATTTGTTATACATTCATGAGCCACTGTGTATTTTTATGATTCCCCAGTGAGAACTATTCAGGTACGTCTGCATCTAAGACACTGGCCCCAGGCACAAGCAAACAAGACAGTGGCAATGATCTAAACATTTCTAAACATTTCTAAGGCCTCCAGTGGCTTCAGGCGACATCTATAAATGCTCTTGGGTTGGCATGGGGTGATATTAAAGAAGCCTTCTTCATTGATTTGATAAAGGAACACTGAACTTGACACATTCAAAAAAGGCTTGTTTTTCTTTTTCATTGGAAAGCTGGGACAAGATTTTGGGAAATTCTGAATGAAAAAGTACCCCGAGACTAAGGAAAGAAGTGCGAAAACCCAAAGGGCCTCACCTGCCGCGTGGCTGTGGAGCCGCAGGGGAATGGCTGCGCGGTGTCGGGGTAGGTGGGGCGGTCTTCACGGAGCCAGCTGCAGGAGGAGGTACGCCGGAGGATGGGTTCCGCATGTAGGCACGGTTGGATGTGGACACCAGCTGTGGTGGGGGACGACTGAAGTCTTGGACAGAGGAAGAGGCGTAGACCCCTGAAGGCTGTCTCCAAGAACTAGCTTTTGGGGAATCCAGGTTATCCAGAGATTCACCTCTGAAACATAGAAAGGATTCATCAACGTTATAAAACACATTCAATTAGACATCTATTTAACACTGCGACAGTCATTAAAATATCCATGTTATGTACTTTATGAGCAGGTATGAATCTAACAAGTCCAGTTACATATAAAATTACCTTTAACCACTAACGTTGCCTTTCATCAGAGGCATCGTGATGTTTCATACTCAGTTATCCTTCCTTTATTTTTATTTTCATGTACTTGCTGCTCAGAAAAAAAAAAGAATGCCAAAGTAGAAAGAAAAATACTAAGAAAAATATTTTAAGACAAAATATTAGGATAAAGAAGACATACACACATCTGTTAAATCTTCAACTGTTTAGACATCAATCTTAATTTTTTAAAACCCAACCAAAAAAACACCTTTTTAGTCACTTACATATGTCAGGTATTAAAACACTGTCACAAAAATATTAAGTGTATTTAATCTATACAACAGTACATGATTTTTTTTTTTTTTTTGGTCTCACAGAAGGTCCCTTGCCCAGTTTTACTAGCTAGTGAAAAGAGCTGGTCAGTGGTGGTATTGGCTCTCAAACCAAAGTCTCCCTGATCCCAAGGTAACCCTGGTCATTCCTACTGCGCAGCCCTCATCCACTCTCTGCCCTAAACTGGGAAATGAAATAACCGTTTAATATCCACAATAGAGAAGCATTCTCCAGCCACTTCTCTTAAATTGAATATGCATGTAACATAGCATTTAGCTCACTAATTGATTTAAATACAACTCTGGAAAATCTCTCTTAAATGAAGTTATGTGCTTAACATTAATTCTGATCTGCAAAGTTTGACTCCCAATTACGGGTTTTTTTTCCTAGTCAATTTTGTTATTACTTTTTAAACTTATCTCTTATACCAAGTTTGAAATACATGTTTCTTTTCAAATTATAAAAGTACTATATCATCATGATGAGAAAAAGCCAAGCAATACAGCAGGGTATCTGAAGGAGGAGTAAGGTTCCCCCACCTCTCATTTACAATTTACCTGCCCCAGTCCCCCGAGTAGCCACTGGTAACTGTGTATCCTTCTAGACTTTTTCTCACATATGCAAGCACATATTTGCATATACATACAAATTTAAATAAGTATAGCCGTGTCATAATATACATACATAACATGTTCGTGTGTTTTTCTTGAACAAAGGGGATTATTCCACAACACAGATTCTTCATAAACTTGCTCTATTCCACGTAATATGTGTTTTCTTAGAACTGTCTTCATGTCAGTGCAGGTGACAGATGGTACTTTGGTGGCCCCCAGTGGATCATCTTCCTGGTATCCATACCTGTGTGTGGCCCACTGATTGTGGGCTTGGCCAGGCAACATGTTGGTCAATGGGACATTAGCAAACGTGACACAAGTGGAGGTTTAATAAACACTTGCACATTAGGGCTGATCCTCTTGCAAGGTTTCCTCCGAGTCCAGGTGCCATGTCATGAGGGAGCCTGAGCAGCTGTGTGGAGGGGCTTACGTTCCCAACCAGCAGCCCTAACTGAGCTCCCAGTGGAGCATCTACACCAGCCCTCTGCCAGGATACACACAACACATGAGCTAAGGGCATTTTATACTTTAAGTCATAAAAAAATAACAACAGAAAAATACATGACAGAGACATATGTGGCCTTCAAAACCTAAACTACTTACAGTCTGATCCTGCACCCACAAAAAATTTGCCAACCTCAGCTCTAAATATGCCCTAACCAATACCAGGCAAAGAACTGCCCAGCCATCACTCAAAATTGTAGGAGTAATGAATTGTTATTTTAACCTACTCATGTTGAGGGGGTATACTATGCAGCAATGTCTCTTCCATTCCTTAACATCTGCGTAGCATTCCGTTTTTCAGTGAGCTGCTGCTTACTTAATGAGCACTAAGTACACTCTTATCAGTAGATATTCTGATTGTTCTCTTTTTTGCTATCGTGTATATCCTTTGAGATATCTGTTCATACTTATCCAAATATACCCAGAAGATAAAGTGCCAGAAACTAAATTGCTCACAGGGTATAGACAAAAATTTCTGCTTAATAAATACTACAAAAACCAAAATCAAAACAAAAAATGTGTTCCCATCCAGATGGGAAAAAGAACCCCTATTTCCTTATACAATTGTCAACGCTAGATTTAATCAACCATTTAATTCTCTACAAATCCTGTAAACCAGGTATATCATTGTTTTAGGAGTAGTGTTGATCTGATACATGCTTATTGACTTTGTTCCTTTTTCTATGAACTATCTGTTCCTCACTTTGTCAGCTGTGGAAACACTAAATAAAAGTAGCTCCAGTATTCATTCACCAAGATGCATCTGTCTAGTTCAAACCCTCACCTCTGTTTAATTTATATCCATATATTTTCCTTATAGTTACAGAAATTAGATGTCCACACTTTGTCATGATTCCAATCTGTTATCTCTTTATAAACAGAGGTTTAATTTTTAAGTTCAGCATCCAAGAAAGCACCGAGAGCTACACAAATTATTAAAGTGCCTGAACCCCACCCCCTCCCTTCAGAGTTCCACATCCAGCTTCGCAACCTCTTAGCCATGTGGTTTTGTCAATGCGTTCCTTGCTCGAGCCCCAGTTTCTTCATAAAGAAAAACAGAATTACTGTCCCTGCCTCAAGTCATTTTTCCCGGATTAAGTGAGATGATGTGGGCAGAGCGACTGGCGTGTGTCTGGCAGCTAATCAATGCACTCCAGGACACGCCCAGTGACACCTGCTCTCCTCTTTCTCCACTAAATCTTACACAAGAGAAGAAATGGTGACAGCTCTTCTGTCCAAAGGAGCCAGCACGTCTAGAAGTTAAATACCTGCCCCACAGCAAAGAACAGGAAATAATTCCGAGGACGTCACACACCTTCTCATAATTCCAGGCAGACAGATAGGCTCCTTATTGACGCTGGAACTGCGCTGTCGGATCCAGCTGTTGTCATCGTAAAGGGATGTTCTCTTCCTCATTTCTTGAAGGATCTGTTGTCTCTCCAACTCTGCTCCTGATGGAACTTGCTCCTTCTTGGAGCTCTTCTGTGATGAGCTACTGCTCCCAATTCGGTCCACATATCTATTGCTTCCTAGATTAAAAACATAGAAAAACTGCAGGATTAGCATATAAAAAAGGAATAGTGGGTAAATCTCCAAATACAGTGGAGCAAAAAGTTTGACATTGTGCATGTCATCAGTTCTCAATGAGACTGCTGCCGAGGACCATAAAGTAATGGGCTCCCAGCCCTGGAAACTCCAATTCCACACCCAGAGGCGTACTAGGGGGCCCACTCTGGGATACCGAGGAGGTCGCCTGAAAAAGAAACAGCCAGCCTCGACATCACCAGTATTAAATTACAAAATGCTCATCTAGAATTAGTTTCTCTTCCACTATGTCCTTATTTCCTAAATTAAAATCAACCAAGCACATTCTCACTGAAATGCCTGCTGTGACAACTCTGCAAGGGAACAGGGAGCTCTGTTCTTTCAAAACACATACTTTCCCCCTGGGGAGAGACAGAAGACATAAGCACATGCATCTCCAGCTGGCATGACTTGAGTCTTCATGATTTTAAGTCACAGAATAAGTCATGACCAAATCATAGGAATGAGAGCATGTTCCATCACCAGAATGGCTTTTGTGAAATTGAAAAATAGCCAAGTAATCCGAATGATAACCAAGGAGTAGTATCAGACTTATGTCTCCTCTAAGAAACTGACAGAGCTATAATTTGAATGTTGAATTTATGAATAACAGTTAAGTCAGGTTTTGTCCTGAAGGCTTTGTCTCCTTAGATTTTTTTAATGATTAATTTCTGATTTTGGTAAAACATCCATAACTGCGAAATATCCTCCCCATCTTAATTAGGGTTAGATTAATTTTATCTAAGGATTTATTTTCTTTCACTCTCAGGGTTCACTGCTATTGTTACTCTTTCAAAATTTATTCTGCCTTAGTGTATCTTCTAGTAAGCAATGAACAAGGCCACCAAAGGTTTATTATACACACCTATGTTTACACTCCTGTATTACACATAGCTTATCAATTTGGTCAGATTCTGAATGTCTTCTATTTTAAAGATGCCTTATTGGCATACCCAGGTGTTTTTCAAGAAAACGTTTGATAAAGTCTAGTGTCTGCTATTCAGGAGCTTACAGTTAGTAAAGGGGAAGAAACAGATGTGCAAAAATAAGCAGATTAATAATGTAAGCCACAAATATTAACAAGACTATTTCAGAAAGTTACATTTGCTATTACAAACAGGTCACATGTTTAAGTTCAAGAGAGAATATGATCACTGCAGGTTAAAAAGGTTTCATGGCAGGTTTAAGTACTTAAACTTTCATTTTAATGATAGCTTAGGGACAAGTTCAGGAGAGGAAAAACTGGAAATCCAAACAGGTAAGACCAGAGGAACCAGATCAGAGAGCATCTGGTAAGTTGGGAACTGAGAGAGAGAACAATTTGGTTACAGTTAAGGGTTCCTAATGGGGAAAACAGCAAAATAGGCTGAAAAGTTAAACTAGGGCCAGATAATGGAAGGTCCTATGAGTTAAGGGAAAGGGGTGGTCAGAAAACCTATAAGGAACTATAAATTCTACAGGTTTCAGCCGGAGGTTATAAACTAGCTGCCCTCAGGACACTGGGGCCTGTGGATATTGTTTGGCTCACAGAGGGTTATAAAAATTTTTTTAATTCCTTTTCAAACACTCAAAAGACAATATAAAAATCCAGACTTTTTTTTTTAACTTCTATGTTACAACAGAAAGAGCTAGCAATCACAGGTCTGCATCTTCCCACACGGAAGTGACAGGCCAGAGCAGGGGAGCAGCCATCCACTTAAATGGGCACGTCCACCAAGTTTACCTCTATCCTCACCTGCGTCACTGACCAGCACCCTACTTCCTCAAACCTGGTATGCAAACCCTGCTGGAAATGGTGGTTTTGATTACTTCTCCTCTCTCAGTTACACATCCCTGTAAATACAAGTTATACTAAAAATACCAGGTTCCAAATTGTTTTTCCCAAGTTTAATAAAACCATTACCATTCTGAGTTCTTTGGCAACTCATTTAAACATACAGTTTCGGGTTTATATGCCATTTCAGATTTATATACAATTTCCCTAATACTCTGCAGAAAACTTCTCTGTCCCAATTCTTTGGCAGCAAGACGAACTCCAGCAGTAAACTCTAAACGGTATCAGCATCACTTTGCAAAATCTCCACATATTTTCTTAGCTTCTTAAAACCATTTTAATCTCTCAGCACTCCCTTCACCATAAAGTAAAGCCAAAACAAGCACAAGATAATTTTGTTCTTGTGCAAATGCTAAAAATCCGTAGTATTTTAATTACGTGATCTTAATGAACCTGAAATATCTTGACCTTAAAAATACTGATCATAGTGTGCGATAGCATAACTAAGCAACCGTGCAGGGTTTTGAAAAAAAAAATCACATTTACCATTTTTATTTGTGGGGTAATCATCCAGCTCAGTAGTGGATCTGGATTTATTCCTAAAACACAGAACATATTGCATACATCACATTAAGAATACCCTTTTCATATTTATTAAGTAAGAACACCAAAAAGATTACTGTTTAAAGCAGTTGATTTATTTCACATGCCTGTTGAAAGCTAAAGTTCTTTTCATACCAAGGAATTTTTCATGTTGTACAAACTAGCAGAAAATAGTGATATATCTAAAGAGAAAAGAGCTTGATGGTAGAAACAGAAACATGTGAAAATCCTCTCCAGTCTGATCCTGGTTAAAGTCTATGATTTTTAAACAACTTGAATGCTTTCACTCTCTTCTATTTCAGATCTCAATCTCCTCACCAGGCTGTACGAAGCCTCTGTCATCTGATCACCTCACATCAGACTGTCAACACTTCCTTCATGCTGCTGCTCGAGGGTCAAGAAGTCAACCTATGGGGCTTTTGCTCTGAAACAGCCACTCCCCAAATGCTATCCCAGCATTCCAAAGAAGTACTGGAGCACACAGACACAGGCAGCTTCTGAAAAGGGCTGACTTCGTAATGATAGACCTTAGGTCTATCTGTCAACACTTGCTGATCTCACTCTCACCCTCCTAGGCACAATAACTACACATAGTAGTAATAATGAATAATAATACATAATATGCATTACCACACATGTGCATATATGCAGACAACAGACATAATGTATCAATATAACATATAATTATATGTAATATACAATGTATCACAATAGTCATGAAGGTTTCATGTGTATTAATGTAGAAGGGAATACTTTTAACACATGATGTCCAACTGCACTCCTTAATGCCTCTAGTGCATGCTTTATCACAATTGCCTGGAAGTGTTTCATATTTTCCAGGATTCCTTAAGTTTCCCTTCTCCATAATCTAATAGTTTTCTCAAAGTAATGAGCTAAAAAGCTTATTTGAATATATAAATAAACCCATAGCTTTAAAAAAAAAAGCTATACACATTTTAATGATCTACAGTTACCCAGAAACATTCATTATAAATAAGGTCATCCATCACTAGAATTTTTTTCTAGCTTAATGTCAGCCCATTACTAGCTGTATGTACATTCCTGTTCTTTTCCCTGTCTACTCTGAGCCCTAGTCAGACACCCTGATGGCCTATAGAAATAAATCTTTCCTTATCTGTAAGGCAAACTTCCTAAAGAAGAAATTTTAGCTGTGAAAACATGAATTAATGGTCAGACACTGGATGTATATATAGACACACTGTTCAGAAGGCCCAAAGTCCCTAGTGATTTTGAACATGCAGAGCATTTTAAAAATTACTTTAAAGCATTAAATTGAATGTTTTAGGATATTTTAGTACATGTGTAACTTTTCAGGTATCTGAAATTCTATCTTCATTCTCTGAAACTGACCAGTAGTCCTAATCAAACTAAGAGAAAGACTATTCTCATTTCGGATGTCCACCTGTAACTTTTGGTAAGTTTATGCCATTGCTTATAATTTCTTTAAAATAAACCTTAAGGTAGATGACAGAAATGAACACAACCCTTCTGTGTCCATGCCCTTGCTCTGTGACTTTTCCCATAAAGGGGTAGAGGTTTTCCTCCTCTCTGTGAACTTGGGCTAATCTTGTGACTTGAGATAACAGAATGTGGCAGAAGCAGTGGTGTGTGTGCCAGTTCAGACCTCAGACTGCAAGGTGCCTTGCACACTTCTTCTGTTTAATTCTCTCTCTTTTCTCTGTCCAGCCACCATGTGGAGAAGACTGCACTGGCTTGCTGGATGTTGAAAGACACATGGCCTATTGCTCTCATTGGCCCAGCTGACAGCCAGTCAACTCCCCAAAGCAGAACTGCTTAGGACACTGGTGGTAGATGTACTGGGAACCCAATCAACTGAAAGAACCACCAATTGAGTTTAGTCGAAAATGCTGACCCACAAAATTATAAGTCAAGTCACAAAGTTTAGGTGTAGTTGGTCACACAGAAAAAGCCAATTGATAACAAAGTTCAACCAGCAGGAACTCTTTGTATCCCACAAAAGAGCTAAAGTAGTCCCACAGAACACCCAGGCAAGCCCTTAAATACTCATCTGAAGCCAACTACTCCAGGCGAATTACAATTAAATGCTCCACACACCTGTCACTGGGAAGCAGCCCTGAAGATTCTTCCTCTCTGTTTGGTACATCATAGGAATCAATAGGCCTAAAAGATGAAAAAAGAGTTTATGGTCAAAATATTAGACTTTAATGCCCTGAGTTTAAGAAATCAATATCAAAATAATGTTATTCTACTCTCTTTATGAGAATAGTCTGAGTTAAAAACTAAACATAGAGAAGTATTTCAATCAACCCCTGCAGAAAACAGACCTACCACCACCAACAGACATTTGCAGTTCATTCATTCACAAATACACACTGAGTGCTGTACTGTTCCAGTACTGTCCAAGGGCTGGGCTTCTGAAGTAAACAAACTTATTTTCCTCATAATACATTTTAGTGCAACAGGCAGGTTAACAGATAAGAAAATAAATGCATAATGGGGAGGGTATAGCTCAAGTGGCAGAGCACATGCTTAGCATGCACAAGGTCCTGGGTTCAATACCCAGTACCTCCTCTAAAAAAATAAATGAATGAACCTAATTACCTCCCTCTTCAAAAAAAAAATAAAGAAAAAGAAAAGAAATGCAAATAAAAAGCAGGGAAATATATACTGAGAGAAGGAGTGGGGAAGAGGCAAGTATTTCGGATAAGGTATTCTGGAAAGTCTGAGCAAGTGACATAAGAAGCCTGAGCAGAGACTTAAAGAAAATGAGTAAGACATACAAATATGTGAGGGAAGACTTCTCTGGGCACAGGGAGTAGAAAATGCAAAAGTCCTGGGGCAGAGTAAGTTGGACATTTTCATGGAAGGAAAAGGAGGCCAGTGGGACTGTAAGTGACCAAGTGAGAAGAGTGGTCGGAAGCCGGGTAGACCAGAAGGCCGAGACCCAGCTCATACAAGCCTTCCAGCTGTGGTGGGGGCTTTGGATGGTGTTCTAACACGACAGGGAGCCATATGGAAACTGAGCAGAGGAGTAAGGTGACAGGATCAGACTGACAGCGGGGTGGCTTCACTCAGCTCGTGTTCCTCTGTGTAAAGCGAGGGCGGTGGGAAGCGGCAGGACAAATCCAGTACCTCGGACGTGGGGAATGGATACAGCGAAGCCACACCAACTGGAAAACCCCACCCGCCCTTCGGCCGTGGGGACAGACCTTCTGTACTGGTATATTTTGATGGAAGTTTCCCTCTCTCTCTCTGCCTGGCGCTTCTGCTCGTCGGCCTCGGCCTCTGCCTGACGCCGCTTCTGCTCCTGCTCTTCCTGGTACCGCTGCTCCTTCAGCTTCCTCTCTCTCTCAAGAGTGAGCTGTTCCAGCAGCTTCCTGCTCTGGTCCTCATCCAGGCCTTCCTCGTGCTGCTGCTGCCTCGTCTCCTCCTCTGCCCGGGTTCCCTCCGTGTCGGGAGCCTTGGACTCTTCACCCCGGATGGCGAGGGCAGGGTCCCGGGTGGAGAGAGACAGGCTGTTGGAGTTCAGGACCATCAGTTCCTATGGGACCAGGGAGAAGAGAAACCCATCTAAATCTGTGCACTTCTCTAATTTCCTAGAGCGATGTCTAGGTTCGGTTTTAAATGATACTTATTGTTGTTGGCCCAGGATTGCATTTGAAATAATGATAATGGTATTATTGCTAACAAAGCCACCCGTGGCTGGTGGAGCCGTAGCACAGAACAGGAAGATGCACTTAGGGCCCACTGACAGAATTATTTAGTGATACTGCAGAGAAACTAGGAGGAAACATCAAAGCAAAATTCTGACAAACCAGAGCCTGGTATTTTCAAAGCGCTACATAGGTGATTGTGTGACAAAAGCCAAGTGAAACGGAGTAGCTCCCATTGTACAGCCAATTTCACCAACGAGGCAGAGAAGGGAGAACAGGGTGTGGTCCAGTACTACCTCATTCAAGTACTTGGAATTCTCTCTCTCAGCCTCCTGCTTAGCCCTCTGCCACTCTTCCCTTAGTTTCTCCTGTTCACGTTGATATTTTTCCTATAAGACGAGACGGCAAGTTAATTAATTAATTAATAGGTTAATGATGTTAATCTCCCATTCACATTTCTGCTAGCTCTACCCTTTACCCCTATCTTTAAAGAGAGGGATATTGGTTTACCCAATCAGATTGGCATCCCGGAAGTAGAAAATAGCTTATTCTGAGCTAAAATGCAGGCTTAGAAAGGGCAGGCACTCAGAATTGAACCCACATCCAACCCTTTACCATGGCTGTAATTCACCGACACCCCTAGCTAACTGTAAGGGGCACTGAATTCCTCTACAACGGACCTCGTGTAGAGTTTACGCAGGTGGAAGTGCTTACAAATCCACACACCTCTCCTGCATAAGAAAATCCACAAAACTAGAGCACCACACACTCAACCAATCTGCACAGGCTAATAAAGGATTTTAAATGGAGGACTCTGGAAATCTTCAAGACGGCAAAGTCATCGTTTCATACAAGATGTGCTCCATATCAAAAGATTTGTTAATCATGAGGTTATTGGCTTTTTAATTTTTTAAGTTGCTTTCTCAATGCAGGCTGACACAGCAGGAGACGCAGTCAAAGCCAACCCAGTTCCTGCCGAACCATCCTGTCCTGCTCTACCTGCAGCAGGCGGTCCTGTTCCTTCTGCCACCTCTCCTGCCTCCTCCGCTCCTCCTCTTGATCCCACGCCCGGCGACTCGGGGCGCTGATGGTTGGGACTGGAAGCTGCCGGGTTATAAGAGAAGAGATGCAAACAGAGAACATGTTACTTCATTAAACCACTGGCTGGAGCACCTTTGCACACATACATTATTCACGTCACCCTTGACCTACACTGTACCAAGAGTTGGCTTCATATTTCAAAATAGCTCTCTGCATCTCGGAAAGCTTACTCCTGGAGAAACTCTTATGTAGCTTAAAACAATGGTAAGCAAAGCTACTGTGTGCTAATTCAGCCCCACCGAGGCCTCCTGGTTTATTCAAACACCAAATGAGTAGGACTTACATCAGGCACCACGGAATCGGAGCTTCCTGTAGCACGTGGGCAAAGAGAGAAAAAAAATACAGTAAGTCTTTGTTTCTATGAAATCATCCTTTTCAGAAAGTTGTGTCACTACCTATTTCCATGCCAGTATACTAGGTGAAAATACTTTTTTCAAACAACAGTCAGTTTCTCTCCTTAGTTCCATCTGTTTGCTATGTATCTTCCAAATTCAAAGTCAGTAAAAAGAGTAAAAAGAGATACTGAAGTTACACCCCAGCTCTACATGCTCAGCTAGATCACTGGTGTATTTCTAAGGGGTCTCAGGGTTCTTTTATTAATCAAGTGTATAGTATTCTCAAAGCTTGGCCTAATAGAAGGAAAAAACAGAATTATAAATGTCACAGTATCTACCAAACCCAGTTTTTCCCTTGCTGCTACTCAGTTACCTTGTGACCCCTGCAAATACACATTTTTTTCAGGTCTTAGGGCCAATGAGCTACTTTTCTGAAACAAGCCACCCACCATCATGTTCAAGGAGCATTTTCCTCTCCTCTATTATTTGAAACACAAATATTCAGACTTCCTGTGTAAACTTATGGGCAGAGTGTTATTTTTTTATTCTTAGGGGGTCTACATAATTGTGTGTGTTTGCATGTAGGACAATGATTATAAACATGTAAAATAAATGTCATAAAATACACTAACATTCAGTATTTTTTAATTTTCCTGAAACCTCAGCTATCAGACAAATTTTTCACTTACACATATTTTTAAGAAAACTGCTTTGAGATTTAGGAAAATATTCTTCCCTAAAATAGCCTGTTGAAGAGAAGTAAGTGAAAATTAAGATGGAGAAAGAAAAGGAATTGCTTTATTTTAGCCAATTTGAGCTAAGAGTATTGTACTGTTTCAATTAAATGACCACAGAAGAACAGTTGTTTAACCAAAAAATATCACAAATACTAAGGCACAAATAGATCCTTGCACATGCTCTTTCTATTTATGGTCAAAAAGAGATCTTAACTCACCACAAGAAGACTATAAGGAGAGTAACACAAAATACATGAATCCAGTAAGTATCATGTTATAAAGCAAGTTTGTAAATATTTCTGATAATCTTAAAAGTAAGGAACAGTTAACATTTGAGACACCAGCAGCACACTCCCCACTGCCCGTGCCACTGCATCTCAAATGTTGGCTATTACTTTTAAGTTCTTGATTGCGAAACACAGAGGGTGAACTGCATTCACGAGACAGAGTATTAGACAAACGTGAACGAGGATAAAATGCCACGTGCACACAGCACACCAAAAAGCAGCGCTGCCCAACTACACCAACACAGAGGCTCGCAAAACGCGCTTGTTCACAGGTGCGGCCAAAATTTACTTTTAATTGACTTCAAAGTCAGCAGAGAGGTCCTGTTAACACTCCAAAGCCATCATCCCAATAGCAATAAACAACTCTGCTCTTTACTAAGAGCATTTTCCATAACCAGAAATTTGACTCTTTACAAGCTGGCCAATTGTATGTTGGTGTAATCTAATCTTACGCAATCTGTAGGAAGCAGTAAGGCATAAATGAAATTCCTCATTTCTTACTGTCACCCAGTGGCAAAAAGTGTGTGTTTAAACAGCATCTCAATTTTGTTTAATTAAAAAAAAAAAGAAAAACTTCAGAGGTATACAAAGGCACGCAAAGACCCATTACCACAGAGGTAGACCCATGAACTGTAAGAAAAGCCTGATGACCCTAGGGAAAGAAGGGAGATGGGTTACGTTGCCCGGTTGTAATGACAGCCCAGCTGAAGAGGCTCAGCGCCCAGCACCACAGACTATGAGGAAAGACTGGAGAGTGGGAGCAAATCCATGAAAGACCATGAATTCTTAGCTCAGTAATTTACCTTGTTCAAAAAATTGTGATCGCCTTTTTAAGTTTTTCAAAGAAATAGGTTCAGATGCTAGTTGAAAAATACAAAAAAAAAAATTATCAATACTATGTCATTCATTTTAATCTCTCACCACTGGAAAACTAAATGATACTCAATACATCTTTCCAATCTATAGCAATATTATTTTTAAAATGACAAAACGAATAGCCATAGAAGATAGGGATTATTTCAATGCACAAAGACACACACAATTTTAGTAATCTATACTACGTTCCAATTAGTAAAAGGAACTAATATTTTGATTAATAAATTTTAGCAGATAGCATCATAGTTTTATAGAAGCTGAAATACCTAGATCACACAGCTTTGGGGAAACAGAAATTAAATTTTTTTTGCTCAGGTTAATCAATTCAAATTCTCTTTTAGTCCAAGAAGAATTGTTTGTAACTAAGAGCCTGTAACTAAGAAATGTTTGTAACTAAGAGTTCATAAGTGAAAAAGGAACTAAAAAATAATGGGGAAGAGGATAAGAAAATAAATAATACCCAGAAAATGATTTAAAAATGCTAAAATTAAAACTTTCTTCTAACTAGACTATTTTGCCCTAGTTTCCAAGATCTTTCAGCCACTAATTTTAAATAAAGCAAATAGAGTTCAATCAGATAAAAAAGAAAAAGAAAATATTCTGACTTCTACAGATCTGTCTCAGGATTATGGCAAATGATTATTATACTTCCGTTTATTCATAAAATGTAAATGCAATTATTATTTGATACTAATTGGTATTTATTTATCTAAACAAAACCCTCAAATGACAGAGCCTGTGTCTTGCCCTATAGTTACTAACGGGGGCTCTGCCTGAGTCACTGGCAGAACAGGACCTGCATGTCTTAGATTAAAACATCATGAGATAAACAACAAGTTCATACTGAATAGCACAGGGAACTATATTCAATATCTTGTAGCAACTTATGATGAGAAAGAATATGAAAACGAGTATGTATGTTCATGTATGACTGAAGCATTGTGCTGTGCACCAGAAATTGATATAACATTGTAAATTGACTATACTTCAATTTTTATATATATATATATATATACACAAAAAAAGACCTTGGAAATAATTTAATATCCTTCTTGCTGACAAAAGTCAGTGTTAGACCATGTTAACCTCGACAAAACTGTTCACTCTCATGGCTATTAATGAGTTGAAATAATGCAATGTTATACCTAGGTATATGATGAGTCTTAATCATTAAAAAAAAAACTCATGAGGGAAAAATAAGTCATGTTCACTTTTAAAAACTCTTTTGATAAAGAATGCTATGTCCAACAGTTAAAACATAGTCCCCTCTATCAGAAATTAAATACAAAGTTAAGTAATCCATAAAGGAGGGGAAATGTATACACTCGGTTTGACTTTGATGTAAGGTATTACTGAGAACTGGCAAATGCAGATTCAAAGCCATCAATCTGCCGTGAAAACCCAGCCCTGTGCCTGGCAGCCTCGTTTCACGCTGAGAGATGTTTCTTCTTCTTTGGGTCTCTTTCCCTGCCTGTGTGGACCAGATCTTCCTTATTTATTTTGTATGCCTCAGGAAAAGCATGTAGTGCGTGGTAGCTAAATCATTTAAAGAGGGCCAGAAGGAGAAAGAGAGGGATAACTCCGTAACACAAAGCTTCCCTAGATGGTATGTCTGCTTTTTTATTACAAATGGGTACTTTTACAACAACTGTTATTGTCATTGACAGTTCCCTCTTACAAGCTGCTTCCAAGCTTGTCCCTTTCATAATAAAGGGGAAAAGGAAACCTAATTCGTTGTTTTGTATTGAACTAAGATTCCCTTTGCCAGCACACCACAGCAAGAAGGCTCATGGCCTCAGGAAAACCAGTCTTTATTATTTGGCTTAGACACACAAGCACTCAGAGCTCCTGGACACACTGCCAAAGCTTTGTTTGCAGTTCCTGGACTATGCAACACTGGAACTGAACGCCCTTCCACCTGGCTGCAATTGGATCTGCGTGCTAACCTTTTAGTTTCCACTTGCAGTGGATCAGTTTTGCTTTCACTCATAGCTATTAATTTTTACAACAGCAGAACTTGAGTACTGTGACTTCTATATTATAAATGCAAGTTCTAGTGGCACTGTTTACCTTTTGATTCAAAAGTATTGCTTTCCTCAGGAACGCCATTGATTTCCTTGGATTCAGTTTTCTGGAGAGGATAAAAATGACAGTTAACAGCATTCTCTCCCTTTGGACTTTGAGCTTAATAATGCATCTTCCCTTGGCAAAAATATCTTTTAACAAGATGAGGTTTTCAGGATACTAATATATTCCTGACAGCCTTTTACAAATAATAGAAACTATTTTTTTCATTGTTCTTTAATACTGGAGGAAGGATTAATGACCACCTGCAAGCATGGATGGCTGTAAGTTTAATCAGTCAGTAATTTTCCAAGAAACATGATGGGCCAAATAATCATTAGTCCATTTGGCTTATATTTATGAGTAAGCAAAACAGTCACATAGGACCCTCTAACATTTAAACTTTTCTTACATTGTAGCAGCATTTCCTTATTGGATAAAAGAGAGGATCTCAAGATAACAATCGTATGTAGAGAATCAATATAAACATTTATTTAAATATATAAGTTTAATGATTGCTTTGATACTTAATGTCTACATAATTATTTTTATCAATTAATGTAAACTATCTCAACCACATATGTAAGTCTAACCATCAAACTCACCTTCACAAGAACCAAAACCCCTTCATGTGGCTTTAAATTGCACACAATTACTATACTTATTTCACCAGCGAAGAGTAAAGAAAGCATAGAAAAGTTATAGTGTATAATTTTACATAATTACTACTTCTCATCCACAAAGATCTGAGAGATGGGTATAATGATGAAAGACTGGTAAGGAACACTTGCAAAAAAAACACTATCGGATCTTTTGATTTTACCATTATATAACTCACCATCACTCTAAAGTATTAATGAGTAATGCCTTATGATTTTTCAAAAATATATTTTACTATAAATTACCTTATTCAATTATCTGTTTTTAAAGTAGCATCAAAATTGTTCAAACAAACTAAATCCCCCCTACACACACACACTCCCTGAAGTTGCTTTGCTGTACCCAAATACTCTCACTTCTCAAAATACTTACAGAATGCCAAAGGCTTTCTGAGAAATCAGTTGTCATTGATAGATCTGAAGATTTGTCTGAGCTGTAAATTCCGGAAGTTGCATCAATCCACTTTGTTTCAGGTGAACCTATAATTTTGGTAGCCATACTGGTGAGATTGAGGGTTTTATGCCGTGTAAATGGCAGGGAAGGTTGATCTGTGCCCCAGTCTGATTGTCACATGAAGATCAAGAAATGAGTATACAGAAAAGTTGAGGTGGAAAGAACAAAGTTACTGAATGTACATATACAAAATACACATACACAAGACTAATAAATCAGACAGCGTGTGAAAGAAATGAAGAGTTTAGGGCTTTTATCAACAGACCACCTTCCAAAAACGCAGGATTAGAGTATGTTAATAATGAAAAGATGGGCAAATTTGCTGACTCCTTCTGTAAGCCAGGACTGGATATTGTATTTTGATATCGTAAATTGGTAGGTCTGGGGAGGCTTAACGCCCCACCCCATGTAACCTCAACAATTAAGAAGCACAATGGTGAAATGCATATCGGAAGTTCCTTCGGAAGGAACAGCCAGGATACTGACCTACTGTGTCCTCTCTTACACCAGTTACAGCCAAGGTGCTGCAGAGAAAGTGAAACCATAGTGCAATTCTTAATATTCAACATTATTATATGACTCCCAAATCCAGGTACAATGACAAGAGCCTTTGGTTGATATCTGCATTCACAGCCAGTCCAGCATATAAATCAGTCAATAAATAATGCAGAATTCAGTAAATTTGCTAGCCAAACGTTTTCAGACAGAATATCCAAGGAAGCGTCATTCAAGATTTGTCTCAACATAACCACAAAACATCTTTAAGCCAAAAAAATAAAAAAAGTAAAATGAAAAGAAAAAAAAATTATTGAAGCAAGCTGTTATGACTACTTGCCAAAGACCAGTTCCCAATTTAGAAAGCCAAACACAGTGGTATGAACTAGCTCACCAGACTTTCCATGGCGCCTGATATCCATTACTAGGTTTCCAGTTTCCTGCGCTTTAGCCATGGTTTCCTCCCACTCTTTTGTGTCCTTATATGAAAACTTGGTGTTGTTGACAGCAATAATTTCATCATCTACCTGTAGCTGAGAAAATTCTGCTGGGCTACCTAAATAAAGCAAAATAAATTAAATCACTGATTTAAAAAAATCCATGTTCTACCAGGCATTGTTATTTAAATTAAGGCAAAAATGACTTCTTAATCATTTCTCCTATTTTTTCAGGTGGAGAAGAGTCACAAACTTTCTAAAAGTTATCAAATATTTGAGTAGCTACAACATTACAAAGCAACCAAAGGAGGCTTTTTTTTTTTTAATTCTATAGCATGTATCTTCTGGGGGTGGGGGTACAGCTCAGTGGTAGTGTGTGTGTCTAGTATGCACAGGGTCCTGGGTTCAATCCCCAGTACCTCCATTAAAAATAAATAAGTAAATAAACCTAATTACCTCCCCCCCCCCACAAAAAAAATCCATGTGTAGCATGTATCTTCCTTAACATTTAAAGGAGAAATGATAAACCCATGTGTTCACTAAAATTTCTTTATTAACCTCCTAAGAAGATAATTTAAAATTATTTTTAAGTTAAAGATGTGAAATATATATTGTACTTTAATTGAGCTTCCTAATCCAAATGCATTCGGAGAAGAAAACAGGGCCACTTAAAACAGCTTAAAACCACTACTTACCATTATCTAATTAAAGCAGTTCTGATATTTCAAAGGAATAACCAGAGTTAGAACGCATTTTTATAAAGTTAAAGTATGTAAATGAGGAACTCCTCATGAATACATTTTAATTTTAGGCCTTGTAATATTTTGCTAGGAGTTCCTGGGTTTGATCTGGTATAACCCTTGGTGAGGGAGAGGCGATAATTTTGTAAAAGTCCCAAAGCATCCTGAGGAGTCCACGGGCAATAGATATATTGGGATGCTCAGAAAACACTGATTATATATAGCACCTCTCTACCTACTACAGACACAGATGGTCAGGGAAAGTTCTTTCTGAATCTCCAGTTAAGTATTGTTTGTTAGTATTTCCAAATATTAAGTCTAAACTGTTGATAAATGAATTCTGCAAAAGTCACAAAATTAAGACTCTTCAAAACTGAAATTAATTAGGCAAGGAGAACAAACAGTATGTACTTTTAACCCCAACTACTAGTCTCTGGGAAGAGGATGCACTGCCCTGCTTTACTGCTGCGTTTTTCACGTGTTTTCTCCTCTATCAAACAGACGAATTCCTGCGGTTGTGGGGGTGGGGTGGGGTTGAACAGCACAGGACAACAAAGGGAAAGAAACTTCAGCAGAGCTGAATCTATGATTTACCTGCTTCGACTGATGCTACGAAGATCCCGGAATAAGCCCATTTTACTGTAAACCCAAAGTCAAGACTGTTCCCGGGCGTCTGGTTTATGCTGATTCTCATATCACTGAACTGATCCTGAAAACAAACATGAAACGGTGGGATCAAGTGTCCCTGGCACCCACGTGGAGGAAAGTCTATCCGTGAAAGGAGGGAGGCTGCATGCAAGGGGCACTTGAATTATTGCACGATAAACCAGAAGCTTTTCTTTTCCCCTTGGGTTTGGTAACACCTTTATTTATGTAAATATCACCGACTTTATTATTCTGCTGCTAAAATATGGGAAGCCTTCATATCCGTAGATATATTTCTTCACATTAACACTATACATCAGTTGGTTAATATTGATAAAGCTTAGACCTTTGCCCACCATACCACTGGGTCTAATTTACAGACCATTTGTTATTACCCAGGAATGAAGATGAGTGAGAAGATCTGTTGTATATATACACATGATAGAATATTATTCAGCCATGAGAAAAATGACATCCCGCCATTTGTGACAACATGGATAGACCTTGAGCACACTGTGCTAAGTGAGGTAAGTCAGACAGAGAAAAGACGAGTACTGTGTGATATCACTTAATGTGAAATCTTAAAGCCAAACTCATAAAACAGGGAGTACAGTGGTGGTTACCAGGGGATGGGGGTGAACGTATAGGAAAACATTGTTTAAGGATACAAACTTGCAGTGAATAGCAAATAAGCCCTAGGGATCCAATCAATGCACAGTCTTGTGAATATCAACAATGTCCTATTGTAATCAAACTTGCTGAGACTAGAAATTATTCCAACCACTAAAAAGAACAGATAATTACATAAAGTGAGAGACATTATCACTACAGTAGCAATATTACAATATAAATGTATCAAATTAACATTGTATATTTTAAATTTACATATTGTATCTCAAAAATATTTCAATTAAATGGCATTTTTGAAAATGCAAAAATCAGTTAAATCATGTATTTTTAAAATGCCACCGTACTTTTAAAAACTACCTCTAACGTTGAACTTATTTAGGTAAATAATTTTTGAGGGGTTCATGGACACAAAAGAGCTGATACTGCCCCTTTACGGGCATCTGAAATTCTGTCAAGGCATTTCTGCTTGCCCTGCTGCTGCATGAAGATTTAGTGGTCAAGGCAGAGCTGCTACATCTGCTGCAAAATGTTCAACTAGCTCATCCCTGAGGAACCACCAGTAAGATGCCAAGAACGCTCCAATCAAGACGCCACAAGCTCCTTGAAGTAACATCAGCCCACAAGCTCAAGAACAACAGCCTCCTGGACAGATGACAGCTACAACTCTATTTCCATCTCCATCACTGTATACAGCACACAGCAACAAATCCTCAGTTTCACGGACTACCTTAAGCTGTTTTCCCAAACAAGTGTCTCATGTTTTACAGTGCACGATGTGAAAAATTTAATTATCTTTCATTATTTACATTTTTTGTTTTGGGTAAACAGCAGACATAAATTTTAGCATGTGTTTCCTATATTAGTGTTTCTAGTTCTTTGATTCATAATTATCAGGAATTTAGACATAACTGTTGAAAAAGAAAAGTTCTTCCCATAGCCACTTGATTTTCTGGAAAAAAAAAAAAAGACCTACAATTTCTCCATTTTAATTCAGCAGTTAAACCCAAACCTAGGACTGACTGGGCAATTCATAAAGAGTTATACTTAAAGTTTTCCATCTCTAAAATAAATTTAAAATCCAAGTGACTATATGCTGAGAAAAACTGTGATATTACATAAGAGTTAGAAGGAAGACAAGGAAGGCACTGAGGACAGGATCAAGAATTGACTGTGTTATGTGGACACAGGCGGTAAGCGCTGTAACAACACTCACTCATTTATTCAACATACACCTATTGTGCATCTATTCTGAATAAAACACTTGGGAAAGAAGGATAAAAGAGGCCTGGTCCTTGCTCTCAAGCAATAATTATCAACTCTTCAAGAGTGGGTATGGAATTCTTTTAGGGAAAAAACATTTATAGCTAATAATATAGAAATGTTTTCATCAAAAAGCATGTAAAACTGTTTAAATATGGGAACCCAGAGACAAACAGTGAGAACACTCATCAATAATCAGCCTGATGCACACCAGTCTCTAGAACACAGTAAAATGCTATGAATAGAAAAAATTACAGGCTAGTTCTACTCCTTAACCAAAACCACCACACACTTAAATTAGAGATGACTCAATGAAAATAAGCAGTCATCTTCACCACTCTTACCCCACCCCACCCCCCAAAGAATTCTGACCTAAAGCCAACTAGAGTGCAGAATCAATTGCTATATAAGGGCACAGAGACAAATGATGGGGTAGATGCTCCCAGACATTAATTGAGGTTTTTTATCTTGAAGAATAAGAGACAGGATGGAGTTGTAATAAACAGTTCCAAACTACAATAAAGAATACTTTGTGGGAAACAGCCAGCGAACATTATCCTTTTCCACCAAACATAGGATAAACGCCAACGAGCCGAAGCCACGGATGCAGGAGTCTCACAATTGTATTAGACCAGAAGACCTGTCCTCCCAAGGGCTGCTCTCACCCTGGAGATAAATCTCTGCTGGGGCATAATAAAAGGGCAGAGACGCACCTCTCAGAAACAGTTAATCGAGGAGGTCAGCCTCTCAGTGGCTACAGCCTGGAAGTCTATGTGGGTCCTGGGGATGCACACAGGAAAGGAGAGCAACCGCGTGAGCAATTCTGCCAACAGCCAGGCAGCCTCAGGCAGGTCACTGAGTCTGGCAGAATCTTCCCTCACAATGACACTGACTTGAAAGCTTTCTGTTTTTCAAAAGCCTATTTTCAAATGAAAACCTTATAGTGACCATCTCCCTCCTACACCAACATACAGAAAGGATTCAAGTGGGTGCTGTAGCCTTAGGGAAAGCACCCCAGAGGCCCCTTTTAGATGGCTTCCCCCATGACAGCCCCTCAGGCGTCTCTGTGGAATCCAGGGTTCTTGGGCTAGTTTGTCCCTGAGACCATCTGCAGGTGAATGTGTCTATAATTACAGTCAAGCATAAACTATTCAATGATGACTTCACTTAGGATTTCTACTTCCTTATTTCCCTCTGCAAGACATATGCCATGTGAATATTCCACAAAGGATCCATGCTTCAGAAGACAATATTGTGGGAACTTCCCTTTGAACTAGATGGAACCAAGAACATAAATTATGCGGGGATATCTAGAGTCTTGATGACTGACAAAGAACGTCTCAAGTGGTTTCAGTTGTCCACACTGGGAAAGATAAAATATAGTTACCAGCACATCAGCATCAAAAGTAAAAATAACTTCCCTCCAACTGGACACAATTTTGAACAGAAGTGTACACTTCAAGCTGAGGTTTTTAAACAAAAACGTGGTAACTGGGTACAGCAATGAGAAGATTTATTTTTGTGAGATCTGGGGAATTAAGATTCTCACGTCCCCACAGATGGGAACGAAGAACAGGCTTAGCCTGGTGTGCTAACCAGTCAGATGTCGATTCTCCTCCGATGTTTTCCCCTACTTAAGCCTACTTATCTTGATCAAATCAAGTAAAGAAAAGTCGATGCAGGCTGTAAAGTCATAAATATCAGAGGAACTATACAACTTTTGACTTTTGCACACTGGTTCTTAGTGTCTTTTTTTAAGGGTCTTAGTGGGATGAGAAGAAAGCGAGCAGCCCTCAGATCACTCCTTTACCGAAGACACTTCTACACCCGCCCTCCCCGCTTCACCATCACGCATCCCAAGGAAGCAGGTGGTGTTTTCAGCTCTGTCACTTGATTCAACCCATTCCCAAGCTTCTCTCTTACCTTCCAAATCCACTGTTGGTCTTCATCCCATCAGGCACTACCAACTGTTCTTGCTTCTTAGACAGTCTTCTAAGTCACCCCTCATTCCACTTTCTCTTGCCTTTTCCCCCCATCTCGCAGGCCACATCTCAGTTTCAGTAGTGTGTTCTTCTTTCTATTTCCTTTTTGTTGTTGTTCCTCCTTCTGGACTACACCCCACCTTCTGGACTACATGCTTTCCTAAGTAAACCCCATGCACTGTCTTCGACTACTATCTAAGCCCAACATATTCAAAACTGAATTTGGTATTTACCTCCCCAAACCTGCTCTTCCACCGCTTGCTTTTCATATATTGGTTCATCATATCGCTACCTAACCAGATGCCCAAGTTAGAAACATCAGGTTCTTTCTGGGTCTCTTCCTCCTTCCCTCCACTAACTGCTCCCCAACCCACCTCCACACAATGGTCCCCCATGCACCACACACATGCACTTAATAAAGTGCTGGCAAGTCCACAATCCATAAATCCGTCTTGAGCCATTCCACCCTTCCATCCTTCTTCAGGTTCTCACCTTCATTCTGGTCCTGGTTTCCCCTGTAAATTGCTGCGGGGCACCTCCTAATTGGCCCTCCCACCTCCAGCCCTTCCTTCCCTCCAGCTTCTTTCTACACAGCTGCCAGAACTTTAGTTACAGAAAATGCCGAATCTAATAATTACACCCAGTTTTTAAATTGATGGTAGTGACTTATTGCCTACTGGGTAGATTTCAAAGTCTACATTTCACAATTAGATTCAGTTCTGGTACGTTTCAATAAATAGCTACCTTTCCTCAAATTAATTTTAAGAGTGATTTTCCCTTTATGAACCAGAAGATATTTCAGTCCAAATTGGCTCCAAAATTCTAGAGACATGGCAAAGTTAAAATAAGTCAACATTTGGTGTTTTAACTTGATATAAGGCAGTTCTCAAATTTAAGCATCTTATATTTTAAAAAAAATAGGGTCAGAGAAATTTCAACTGTGACCTAAGCATTTAACTAGCTAGGGGCATATTGCATAACTTTCAAATCTCCAGTACTTCCCTGGTAAATGGGAGGAAAATACCACCCACCTTGCTAGGGTATTGAGAGGATTAAATGAAACATTTAAAAGGTGCCAAAGCACATGGTTGATGCCCAGTATTCATCTTCTTTTTCCCATGGAAACATTATACATGGTAATATATGCTGGGTTAGCAATTTCCACATCAACTACAGAAAAGCCTGTTAAACGTTCACACACTTAGCTCTAAAGCCAGCAGAACCTGGTCAGCGTTCAACAAACACTTCAGATCCAGGCACAGCACTAAAAGTCAGCACGACAGTCTTGCTCGCGACCTTTGGAGAGAGAAGGTCTAGCGATGGTGACACGCAGGTGAAGTGCACAGGGGGAAGCTGTGACAAGGCAGACCCTGGGCACTACTGAAAGGGGCACCATCAGAGGCTTGGGCACCAGGATGTGGACCTGTAACAAGCTTCCTTCCTTCCACCTGTCATCCTACTTCTGGCACGGCTTTAAAAATCTGGGTCAAAGGTCCTGAAATGTGGACTGGGATGAGATTTGAAAGCAGAGGGTTCTGACAAGGCAGAAAACAAAAATCTGTAGGCAAGATCAATTTGGAGGAATAAAACACATCTGCGAGGCAGCTGGAGAAGGATGGAGGACTCTGGGAGCCACACTGTCCCCTCCTGCTCAGGGTCACCCCCAGGACTGCCCTGGATTGGCAAAGCAGTCAGGGAAAGAAGCAATACCATGACAGAAGTATGGGAGAAAAGGGACTGGAGAGAAAACTGAAGATCAGTAATGCGGATGGGAAAGAAATTCCTGGGCAGGTTTTAAATGAGGTCATTTAAGTTCTTCCTTCATTCAGTCTTCGCTCCTTTACGTCATGAACTCCCTTATTACCAGGACTGTGTGATAGGCTCCCAGCCATCTCTGTCCCCAGGTTTTACTTCTTAAAAATAATTCTATATAACATCAGAGTGCTTACATTCCCAAAACCCCCCTTAATCTTAAAATTCCCACACTAAAGATCCTAAATTACCTGATGAATAAAGTTCATACTTGAGTCTAGTCATCAGGGCCCTGAATGTAATTCAAGCCAGGTAACACCTGAGTGCTAACTATGGTAAAGGCTATGGAGGGTATAAATACCAGTGAATGAGAAATGAATCTATGGAACAAGGAAGAATTCAGTGAATGAAACTCCTGTTCAGGGTGAAAAGTTCAGTTCCGACAAGGGGGAGGAGATGTCCTGACTCACAAACGAAGTGACTCTCCTGGGCTTTGAAAGAACAGGAAGAGTTCAAAATACAGAGATGGGTGAAATGAACATTTTTAAATACAGTAACAAATGAGAACAAATATGTATCTGATGTGCTCGGGAAAGTATATGGTATGTTCCAGAAGAAGCAAGCGGTCCCCTGTGGCTAGATGTCACCTGCTTCCTTCTCTTTCTCACAACACAGAGCCGTGTGGGGAACCTTGAGTCAGACTGCCTGAGTTCAAATCCTGACTCTACCACTCAGTACACCCTGTGTGGCCTTGGACAAGTAACACGACCACGCCATGTCTTAGTTTTCACGGCCACCAAACAGCGATTAGAGGGTCACTGTGAGGATTAACTAAGGTAATGCCCTGCACAGCCTGGCTCAGTAAACATTAGCTGTTACAGCACTACAAAGGGAGTCTGGGACCAGTCAGCAGGGGCCTCAGTGTCCCCCCGAGTGCTTTGAACTTCAGTGAACAGACCACAGCGTGCCCAGAGGGCTTTGAAGCAGAGAAATTACCGAGTACAGCCTGGCACCATGCAAATTAATCTGGTGCCAGCCTTGTGTAGAAGGCATAGAGACATGTGACTATTTACAAAGTGTTTGCATGGATGGAGAAAGGGACGGAATTAGGGTAGCAGAAGTGGGGGCAGAAAAGGGTAACATTAAGGGAGGCTGCAGGAAGGAACGAAGAGACATTCCAGCGAACATTGAGAGGTAAGAAAGACGGCCTGAAGGACAGTCTTTTACAGTTTCCGGGACATCCACCTGCAGCTAGTGTAACACTGTAAACCAACTGTGCTTCATCTAGACTTCCAGCCCCACACTATTTCATTTTTCTGTTCTCTGAACTCCTAGAATCAGATAGTTTGGAGGAATGTTGCATATGCCTTTGACATATTGGTTCACAGCCCTTTTCCCAAGTCAACAAGCTCCTTCCAGGGACCAGAGCAGGGCAACGTCACATAAGCTACTTTCCTCAGAGGACAGAAGTGGACACGCCAAGCATCTCAGGGGCAGGCAAGTCACCAGAGGATAAATACATTTGTTCAAGAATTCTGGTTGCTCTACTTACTAGATTAAGGCTAATTTTGCTTGGTAGCATTCCATTTCAAGTTGGGTGACTAAAGAGCTAAATCTGTTAAGGATGAAACCTGAAACCAGGCCGCGTTAACGCAGGTTCCCCTGAACTGCTCTCACCTGGAACAAACCCACACCCACACTTAGCTTCTTCCTCTTAATCCCACGGATGCAGTTAGTCAACTGCCACCCTGAGGGAGTTTCCACCACCTCGCACAATACATTAATTGGCTGTTTTGTGGGATTTGCTATTTGAAAAGGTGAAGGCAAAAAGGCACATCCATAAAACAAAAGACACCTTGCTTCCCTTTTTATTATTCATCCGCTGTTACCTTATGTTCCCCAAGTCTAAAATAGGCTATTGTTCTCATCCACTGAGACTTACGATGCTAATTACATGTTTTCCAATTCTTTAAAATTGAAGTTAGAAAAATAACTTACAAAATAATGATTTTAGCAATCTGATGAAATTGGTTTTAGATGTTTGTAAATATGCATGGGAAAACTGGAAGAAATATACCTACATGTGAAAGGATATCTCTAAATGATGGGGTTACCAAGTCATTTTTGTTATGTATATGTTCCTGCATTTCCAGATTTTCCCAAGCACAGAGTACTGTATAGCCATGAAGGAAAAAAGCTTACTCTAACTTGTTAAGCTTTCCTGTACTAACAAAAACTAATGATACTAAAATCTGCTATATCATATTTCACAGAAAGGTATTTCATTAATATAACTGAGGCCAGGTTACATGCTTGATGTTGTGCCCTGGGGGGGAAAAACACCCTAGAAAGGCAGCAGAGAACGCTAGACTACGCCACAGAACCACAGAAGCATCTCCATGCTCAAGGGTCCCAATAACTATCAAATTGTTTAATGAAGTTTTTTTTTTCCGAAAGAGAAAAGCTTTCTTTCTGTTCTGTAGACAACCAACGACGTTTTAGCCTACACGTAAAACATACCATAAAAACATTCATTTTCTAATGATTCTCTGAAAGTCAGCTATGGGATTCTTAAGTAGGAAAACTACAAGTACCCTGAGTCATTTTTCACCTGATGGTATATTTTGTTTGGACTCCAAATGTTAAGTAATGCAACTGTCATACTGTCACTAAGCCTCAATATCCCCCCTACACAATTCTGAGCTTTCCAAAGTATAAACTCGTATTTAAAGTCACGAGGAGGTTCATATGGTAACCTAGAAATGCCACATGCCTAGAGGCCAGTACCTCGCATGTGCACCACGTTCTCCTTGGGGTCAGTTCACTTCCCTGAGAAGGAGCTTTTATTACCCATCTGTCTACTAGATCTGCATCGAAAACCTCCCAAGTGAGCCCTGCACCTGCACCCGGACCGCTAAGCACTCGCAGTGCAAGGCAACAGCTGCTGAAATGGGGCATAGAGGGAAAATCCATCTGAGCCCCAAGGAGACGGGTCCAAAAAAGTCTCCATCCGCCCATATCACAAAGGTAATCTGGACCCATAGACTCAGAGTTGCAAGAGACCTACTTCCTCCAAGATCGGTTAAAAAATAAACTACAGTATCATTTTCTACATTATCAGCCCAGACTGTAATACGTGGAGGTGAGAAACGTGGCTTCCAGATTTAAATATTTATGTTTCTGAGCAGAGGTTGATAAAAAGCCTTCCCAAACTCACCTGTGGTCTTGAGACCTCTGACAGTGGGGAGCTTCTCCCTTCTCCAAGCTCAGACATTAAATCAGGACTGGATGTTGAAGATAATGTGTCTTTAGAAGCAGCAGCGTGGTCCTGGGAAGGAGATGAGACGGGGGGTGTAGGAGAGGGCAACCTCATCACACCTTCTCGGGAGGCTGCTGCCTGTCCTTCGCTGGATGAGCTGGGCGCCAGCTGGCTTTTGTCCGGTTTTTGCAGAGAGGTGCTAACCAAATTGCTTTGGGTTCTCTTAACGCCTTCTACGTCTCCATTATACTTCCAACCATCATCCATCTAAACAGGAAACATCACTTTAAACTTGGTATTCTGTTAGATCTCTGTTTTAAAAGTGTGTGCATTCAATTAATATTTTAAAGTTATGAAAGGAACATATACCTCGCACAGCAAAGTGACCATGACTAAAAGCCTGGAGCACGTTCTTACTAACAGATGTGCACGTAGGTAGTGGGAGGGTTCGTCATTTTTACAAAAGTGTTTATGTTATAAAAGGACCTACTTATTGACCTTTGCTTGTTTACATCACTCCTGGCCAACAGACAGAAATCTAAACTAGTTCAATTGTTGAATACTTCACAGTATGTATAGCTATAATTTATTCATTTGATATGCATTCAGTGTTGCTTAAAATTTTCTGAAAATAATTCACATATCTTTATAACCAGAATGTTCTTTTTTAGAGCACAGATTCCCAAAAGTAGACTTGCTGGACCAAGGAATATTTTATATATGCAATATAAAATATGTTTATATATACATTTATATATCTTTTTCTGAATGTAGCAACGCACCCCCAAAGTAACGTATAAGAATGTCTATTTCTCTGCATCCTTGCCAACACTAGACGTTTTGGAAGGTTTTAAATCTTCGTCAATCAGATGGAGGAAAAGCTGTCCACCTCCTTCTTGCTCTAATAAGACTGAATATGCTTCTACAGTGCTTTATGTTACCAACCATTAAAACTTCCTCTCCCTTGAACTGGCTATTCATTTCTATATCCATTTTTCTACTATATATTTTTTCCTTATCCATTGCAGGAGCATTTTAAGTCTTAGGGATATTAACCCTATATATAAAATACATTTTACTGATATTTTTCTGAGCCTATATAAATTGTCTTTTGACTAGTTAATGGTGTCTACTGTATAAATTTGATTTTTATGTTGTCAAATATGTCTATATTTACTTAATATAATGGTCAGGGTTTTTTTCTGGCTACTTTAAGTGGGCTTCCTTCACCTTGAATTTTTTGTAATAGAATTTTTCTTGTTTTAGAGTTTCAGGATTCCACCCTGGCAGAAGTAGAAGGAATTTGAACACTGATGTTCTCAGACTGTACTGCTTCCTTTCACATAGTTCAAATTAATACACTCACTTTCAGGTGTGTGGTACTGCTTCATTCTCAGGGCAAGTGATTTCATATTCCATATTCTTTAAAATATGTATTTTTGAACCATAAGATACATTTTAATAACTACAAAGATATCAAGTTCTACTGAAGTGGGAAATCAGGAAAAATAGAAATTTGTACACAATCACCTGAAAATATTTAGGTTAAGCCACATGAAGTTGCTGTTAGCAGGTCAAAAAGAACTGACTACTGGCAACTTCATACTGTGCAACCTAATAATTTACAAAAGATATATCTGAGAAAATATGACACTAAAGAATAAATGCTCTGCCTTAGAATGGGTTTTTCTTTTTAAATGTATTGGCTCTACTTTCATTGAATTAAAGTTTAATCAATTCTGCATCATTGCTATATTTTAAGCATTAAATATCTACTGAATCTACACTGGCTAAAATAAAACTGCTTTATATATAAATTAGGTACATTTTACACATCAAGCATTAGCACTCAAACCTCTGCACAAGTTCACCAGTATTCTGCTCTGCAGAACAGGCTAAGTGAACTGGGAGCACATTTACCGTGTAGGATCTCGGGAGTGATGAGATTCCCCTTGACTGAGAGCCAAAAGGTCTCGGTGTGACCACAGATGTTAACCTGGCCGTATCAGATCTCTGGTAACTTCTGGGGAGAGAAGCTGAAACTCGATTCGACTCCACTTGTATATTCAGTGAATGCTGAGAAGACAAAGAGGCTGGGTGGTGTTCCTCCCGGAGGCTTTTAGAAGGAAGCTGAATTTCAGCTGTTACAGCATCCTCCCTTTTGGCAAAAGTTGTAGAATCTTGTTTAGGAATTTCTGCAGGACAAGTTGTCCCCTTCTCTTCTACCTTCTCACTCTGGTAACTTGCTTCTGACATAGTCAGTGTAGGGGGAAGCTTTTCTTCAGTGAATACGTCATCAGAAGAATACAATCTCCTCCTTGATGTAGCTGTAGGCATCTGACTTTGGTACTCCCTTAGCAGAAAGAAACACCACAACCACAAAGTTATGCATTTGACACACAGAGATGGAGAGACAGATGTTACTTTGGTCATTAACATAAAAAAGTGGATGGGAATGAAAAGACTGCCGACTTCATATAATAATACAATATTAACAGAAAATGAAAATAAGTACATGCAAATTTTTAATGCTACAGAAAAAAGATTAAGAGCTTGACTTTTTTTTCTTAAAGAGGCTAAAAAAATACCCCTGAAGTATTTGACATTGTAAAGAGATTTTTGAGATTTGCAGATACTAACTAACTAATATATATAAAATAGGTAAACAAGTTCATGCCGTGTAGTGTGGGGAACTATATTCAATATCTTGTAGTAACTTACGGTGAAAACGAATATATGCATGTTCATGTATGACCGAGGCATTATGCTGTACACCAGAAACTGATGCAGTAGTGTAAACTGACTATACTTCAATACAAAATATATATACAGGAAAAAAAAGAAAATTTTAAGAAAGGATTATTTAAAGTTTCACCCACAAGTTTATAATTCCTCCAAAATTAATGTTCTATAAAGATAACTGACAATTAACTTGAACCCTCCAAATATATGGATTTCTTAACAGTGTTTAGAGTTTTCCTGGATACAATTTATAATAAAAGTTTAGTAAAAACAGAAGACCACACAAGACTCAGACTTCCATTAAGATCAAGTTAGTGTATGATTTCATATAGCTTGGTAGAATTTGCATGGGCAATTATTGCAGATTAAAAGTCATCATTTCTATAAATTATAGAGAGGCTGACAAAACAGTCTCGGGGCTACCATTTAGTAAGGAGTACCTCTCAAGCCAACTCTGCTGCACTTAAGTGAATGAAACTGTGTTTACCATTGGCATCTAGGGCACAAAGGAGCTTTGTTTAATTTCACCTACCAGCACATTTCCTTTTTGACAGTATTCTTAAAGCATATTTGCCTTCTCCCTGACCTGTAAACGTCTCAAGGTTTCACACAGTAACTGCTCTACAGGCAAGTTTAAATTGGACCTTTATCTTGTTATGTTGCAATGCAAAAAATAAACCCTCATACTGATGTTTATATAGTCTTCCTTTAAAAATACAATGTTAATTGCACCACTAAAACACAAAAAAGAACTTTGCTATATTTTTCACAATTTATTTAGGAGTGGGAGCTGGTTTTATTTGACCATTCTATTTCTCAACTTACTTTAAAAGGAGAAAAAGTTGTTTATTTTCTGCAAATATAGCCAACATCACCCAATTCTGCACATGAATATACAATGTAAAATGAGGAAATAATGTACACCAATTTTAAGCACTCATTCCTTCTGTTAACTTAAGTCACTATTTATTACAGCAATACTTAGCCTTTTCACTACAGAGTAAAATGCTTGAAGTTTCATGCATTTCTGATGACAGTTTAAAATCGGTGCACATGTATATCTCACTACACTTACACAAAATATCTATTTCTAACACTCGTATCTCTGATCCTGAGATGCATTCAGCCTCATTACCTGTCCTGCAGCATTTCGTTAAATGTCTTAGATTTTCTCTCAGACTTCTCAAGCGCCAGCTTCTCAATCTCTTCCCTCTCTTCTTTTTTCTTCTGCAGATCTGAAGTGTAGCTTTTTCGACGATCTTTCCATTTTGCAAGGTCCTAACAGAAGCAAATCACATCAACACAGGCACACCTGAATTTCTACACACCCTTCCCGGCAGTGAGAGCCCGCCAGAGGATCCCATTACATCGCTGAAACCATGCACTCCAACTTGATGCCAAGGTGCCCTAATTTTGCTTTTTATAGCCAGCGTCTCTGTACCAAGCCTTTATCTCCTGCGTCTGTCTAGAAACCCTGACCTAATAAGATAGATCCCATTTTTGTCTTCCCAGAAAGTGCCTGCCTCCTTGCCCATTTCACAAAGGGTGCTAAACGCTTGTAATTAGATGCCAGCTCAGAAAGATCAGGAACTGTTTCAAATTCATTTCCATCTCACTCTAATCATCTGGCTCTTATGTGACATGATGTTTCACCAGTCAAACTGGAACAGAAACATGACTGTAAAATGGCTAAGCATAGAAGCACACCCGGTCTTTTGTTTAACAAATACTGAGTTCAAGCCCTGCTTTGAGGAAAGGGGCCCATAAACACACAGATGAATAAGAGGTGCTTCCCCTCAAGGAGCTCTCAGTACAGAGCGGAAAGACAGACGTGTAGTTAAAAGCGCAAAAATGAGTGTTGTAGGATTGCATGAGAGAGTGGGGGTCCAAAAGAGAAAGTAGTCAACTTCATGTTAGGCAGGGGAGGGCCAGGTTTGGAAAGGCTCAAATGGGGGAGCCAGACTCAATGTGTGGTTTCAAAATGGGTCACCTCCACATAAGGACAGGGCAATGAGGAAGATCACACAGGAATCAAGTGGACATCTGCTTCCCATATCCCCAGGAACTTGAGTCTCACCAAGCTGGGTGACCCCGGGACAACGAACCTAACTCACCTTCAAAATTAGCCCTAAGAGCTTAAGCTCGTTCTGACACCCAAGGGGTTGAGACAGTCTGGATGGTACCAACTGTTCCTATGTCACCAAAACGAAGAAATAGCATGCCAAGAACTGCTAGGGGCACCCCAGCCCAAACAGAAGCCTAAGCAAGATCTCAAACTAAAGGGGCACCTCACCCCTGGGGCACATAAATTAGGCTTGATTTCTACTTTGGGGGAACAGACAGGACCATTCCTGCTTTAAAGAACAGCCTGAAACCAACATGAACTATTTCCAGAAAGAACAAATCAGTGCACATTTTAGTCCTATAGGAGAACCACTGTGAAGTTTCATCTGACTTAACCTAATGGATAATCCCCTAATACCTCTTCTTTTCATACCTAGTCACCATGTATTTTGGCAAACTGACTTTGAATTTTTGTTTTTTGACAATCAAATTGAGCTTCCAAGTAAAAGAGACACTCGAATTTAGAAACACAGCCAAGGCAGAGGGTTCATCTTCATTTCTTAGTCTTTAATTCCTCTGAAAATTAAGATTTACTTGTTTTGTTCAAGATTCCACTCAACTTTCTTACCATCAAGTTGTCCTCAGAATTCTTTGGGTCTGCTCTGTATAGCTTACCTATTGTATTTCCTTACACTTCTTTGTAAACAACTGCAATTATAACAACTAACCCCTTTTTTCAAAAAAGATAGCGCTTCCTTCCACCAGGGACAAAACTAAAGATTAAGTCTTTATCCAAATAGACATCTAGATACATGTCAGCTCTGTGAAAACACCTAATTTTGATTCACATGAGATAATTGCTTTTTCAACCAAAATATTACTGAGTTATAGTTCATATTTCTCCCCAAGCCTCCTCTATTAACTCTAAAAACCCTTTCATCTCTCCCCGCTGTTGCCTAGAGTCTGTGCTGGACCCCGTCTGCCCTAAACCTTGAGCAAAGTCTCCCTTTTCACAAGCATCAGGAACAGTCATGCCCCAAATTCAACCACCAAAGCAAGTAGACAAGTTACCTATACTGCCAGGAAGCAGCTTCTCATTTTTGATAACTCACAAAATATATTAGAAGATAAACAGTCTCTATTTTTCACAGTGGCCTTTAAGACAGGCAACAGTGATAGACCAAAAAGGGTTAAAAATCATTTTCCAAGGAAGTTGATCACCTTTCCTACAGAACTGAAATCTGGAATAGCAGGGAAAACCATCTCTGAGAAAACCGACTTTGTTTTTAGAGAAGTAAGGAAGAGTCAAACGAACACATCCTCCCTGCCTCCCCGTCTCCCAGGAGGAAATATACTCACATCCTGCCATTTCTGATCTTGCTCTTTTAATTGTGACTTTATTTTCTGCATCTCCTCGTAATGCAGCTGACGCAAGTTCTGAATGTCCTCCGCGCTGACATCACTCATGGACTTACTCCTACGACAAAAATACCCATGGTAACCAAGGTTCACGTGACTGGATTTAAGGTTAAAACTGGAAGGTTGGGCTTATAGTTGGAAATTCCATCTAAATTTCTGTGGTACTACCTAGATGCTTTAGTGATAATATCACAGAAATAGCACTACAGAGATAAATGGTGTTTTTCCAAAACACAGAAACAAGAGCCCAGCACTCAAGCGTGAATTCTTTCACAAAATGGCTAAAATGAATGCTGAACAAGTCAGGAAATATAATCCAGTCCTCATGTTTACAGTGGTCCATGCAGTAAAAGATTACTTTAGAAAAAAAATAACTATTTGGCCTTAGAATCACTTGTCTTTATTTTTCTATCTCCTCCAGAGATAATCTTTTAAGGCTTGGCGGCCTTTTCTGAGCACTTATTAAATAATTTAATGATTACTTGATATTTTCTCCTCAAGTTCGATACCGTGAATAAATGTGCTGCTGCTTCTCAGAGATTCTGTTCAGACCTGCCTCACCACTTCAGTGGGCTTGTTCTCAAAGCACCATAGGTAGTTTCTAACAGCGGGTTACAATATAACCTCCATTATAGTCCCCTTTTTTATTAAGGTAGTTTTCATGTCTTCCATGGGTGACCCCTACCATGAGGATGTACTGAGCTTAAACTAGAGTAGTTTGAGTGGAGTGGGGTGCCGGACACGATGCACACGTGCTGTGTACATGCACTTAGAAGGGCACGGGAAGTACACTGGAGAAGGGGAGGCTGAGGGAGGCCTCCAGGAAAGAGAGGGGTCAGATCTGAACACTGAACAGCAGGTGGGATTGAGAGAAGAGACATAGAGCTTTCAAATGAGAGCTGCCCAAAATGTTCTCTCCCACCCATCTTTCAGAATAGACTTCTGATTTTGTTCATTGCTACTGACTCCACGTTCAGTTATTTAAGTGACTCCACATCTCCTTTGTGGGCCGTTAAACTTTGCCTTCCCCCAAGATTTTGCCATCACCACATTTTTCAAGTAACACACTTGCTTTTAGCTAGCTCAGGAGTTCAATTACAATCTCCGTGCAAACCTCTCCCATATCTACAGCCTGGGACCAGTCTCTCTGACTCAATTCCAACTGCTTGTTGAATAAACATCTCTGCGTGGATATCCCTTAGGCACATCAACTGTAAAAGGGCCAATTAAATAATATCTAGAAAGGATTTTGTAAGTGGTAACTCAGTAAACACATGGTTATCGTTGACATAGGCAAACTCAATTTTTCTCCAAAGTTGCCTTTCCTCTTGTTAACAGTGTTAACCTGGCCTCCAATCATCCAGATTTGACACCAAAGAACCATTTTTCACCTCTGTGTCTTTCCCTTCTCCCTGTTTTCAATTAGTTATCAAGTTCTCTTATTCAGTGTCTTTTTCTTCCCATCTCTATTGCCAACACCCTAGATCAGAGCATAGTCAACTCTTACCTGGACTTTTAAAAAGCTTCTTATCACCCAGCCACCAGATCCAGTGAAGGTCTTTCCTGAACTGTCCCCTCCAATTTAAAAGCCCCTCACCAATACAGACGCCATTTTAAATGCCACTCATTTCTCAAATCCCTGCTAGACTCAAGTGTGGTTGATGTATACAACTTCCTGTTCATTCTCCCCTTGGAAGTCTAATGGGGCAACTCAGACTTAACTTGTCAGAGCAGACTTGACTGTTCACCCTGTAATCCACTCATCTCCCACATTCCTCATCTCAGTAAAAATCAACTCCATCCTTCTGGATTATAGGCCAGAAATCTTTGAGTCACCCCAGAGTCCTCATTCTCTCATACATCAAAACTGATCTCACCAGGAAATCCTGTCCTCTACCATCTAAAATATACCTAGGATGCAATCACTTCTCACCACCTCCCCCATTACCACCCGGAACCAAGCCATCCTATCTTCTGCCTGGGCTACTAAAATAACTGGTATCCCTGCTTCCATCTCTTCCTGCCCAACAATGTGTACTGTATACTCAATGTATACACAATGTATACTCAACACATACTCAGTGTATACTCAACACAGCAGCCAGAAGGATCTTTCCAAAACTGCACTCAGATCATGGCATGCCTCCATCCAGCACCCAACAGTTTGTTCCCATCTCACCTGAGTTAAACACAGGTTCTTCCAAGACCTACAAGGTCCAACATTACCTTGCCCCTCGCCTACCTATCTGCACATGTCCCCCACCCTGCTCCCCTTCACACATTCCGTTCCAGCCACCTGGTTTCCTTGCTCAGGCCCAGCTTCTTGTTTCTCCCCTTGCTCTTCAATCTGCCTGGAATGCTCTTCACCCGAACATCCACATGATCTCTCTCTTCCAGTCAGCTGTTTAAAGTTTACCCCCGGGTTCCCGTCCCTGACCACCGTACAAGAGTAAGTAATGCACCTCTCCTGATTCACATTATCCCTCTTTTTCTCCATAGCATTTATTACCATCTGAAATGGATGTTTATTTACACATCACCTGTCTTGCGCTGTAAGATTATAAAGCAGGACTGTTGTCTGATTTCTTTGCTGCTGTATCACCTGTGCCTAAAAGAGTTCCCAGCCCCTGGCAGGTGCTCATAAATGATCTCAATAATATTCTCCTGCTTTGATAAAGTCTTCCTGCAAAAAATGATGCTTTAGCTGTACCTTTCTTGTGCTTCTTAATGCTCAGCATTATGTCATATGTAGTGGGCACACATGTGTGTGTGTTTAGCTTACCTCCCTCACAAGTTCACACACTGCTTGGGAGGAAAACACATTAACACAGCACAAGGCATACAGGACACATTCATTTAACACCTGTGCTAAGAATCAAGTATGTCTCATCATATTTATTTGAGCAAAATAAACTAACCATAAAATGTCTCTAATTTTGCAAGAAATTGTGGCTCTTGCTCCAAAGCTTTATAAAGAAAGCTTAATAAGATTTATTAAAGAATATTAAGGAATTACATATATGAGTATATATGAAATTATATACTGAGCTATTAACATCATATATATACTTGACCACGTAAGACTATATAAAAAACTGATTTGAGAATATAAATTTACTTAGGTCATAACTGCAAAGAATAAGGCAATATCAGTTAATATTATAACAGATTCACCAAAAAGAAAATTTTTCCAGGATCAAAGTATGAGGGGAATCTGGGCACTCAACAAATGAGGTTGCATAAATTCCAGAACAAAATTGGGAAGGTTAAGGGTTTTAAATAATCTTATGGTTGGGGGAAGGCTGGACAGTCTCATCTGGCCCAGACCCTTTTTGCCCTCACCCTCTTGCACTATGAAACCTTGGCTTGTGTCTTTTCGGAAAACATGGTCCCCATGGGCAAAGGCTGCATCAGCCTCTGGGGAGCTCACAGCACAGAGCCTGACACACAGCAGGTCCCTCAAGATGAACAAAGTGAGCCGAATACCAGCCGGGGTAGCCAAGCGCCTGCATAAGGTAGGAGCGTGAGCCCTCTGTGTTCCCTGGGACATACAAAGTTATCTACAGAAAGCCTGGGCACATTCCGTACAGGCTGAGCCAGGCACCAGCATGAGACAGGAGGTGGGACCCGGCAGCAGCACCGATCTTCACCCCCACCGAACATCACTGAACTTTTCTCAGCCTCGGTTCCTTGTCTGCTAAGCAAGGGAGGGATGGTTAGAACTGGGTCAGCTTATGCTGACTGCTTTTCAGTAACAATCTGGTGGATACACCAACTACTTTCATTAATGCAAATATGATTGTGTGGGATCTCCTGGAAAATGACTCCCAAAGCAGTTTCAAATTAAGAGAGGTCACCCCAGGCCAACTGATAAAATCTAGACCCTTCTGAGTGGAGGAGTCTTCCTGCCAGATCATGAAGAATTCTTTCCTTCCTTATCACAGTTGACAGAACGATTATTTAACTTCTGAGGGCTTACTGTGTGCTGACAACACTGCAAGCAGTCTATGCATGAAGCCCTAGGCCGATTCCACCATCCCACCAGCTGCACGTCCCTGGGAAAACTTCAACGTCTGTTTCTAAAATGCACGTGATACCTACCTGCCTACCTCACCAAACTGAGATAACCACCAGAGACGGTCCCCGGAAGACTGTTTGGGAAAACCATACAGGGCTCCACACCTCAGGTGTTTTGTGGAATGAATGACTCTTCCCTGGCAAAGCAGAATTCTCTCACAATTCATTTGTTTACCACCTTTATGTTTCCTTATTTGGAAAGGCTCCAATTCTAGAACTGCACTTGGATTTTTCCCAAAAAATACAGGTCTAACACGTTGTATTTTCAGTTGAATAAAACTTTTTTTTAATGGCAGTTAGGGTGAAGAGAGAAAGAAAGGGAAGTTTAAGAAAAAAGGCACAGATCTGTAAAACAAGATGACTAAAATCTTATTTTCTTTTCCCACAATGCTGGGATGAGTGTTATGATGGTGTTATTTTAGAACTCAATCTCAGGAAACTTATAAGTGAATATCTAAGCAGTAAAGGATCAAAAAAGGACCAACATGCAGCAAAATTTCCTAACTATAAAATCACTGATAACCTTATCTGGCAAATAGAAATTCCATGATACTAAGTTTGGGGTCCTTAACTTTCAAAGGAAGATATGAATAGACCTGTTTATGCACCCACCTCTAAACATATTTTCATAAGTGTTGTAGGAATTCTCTGAAGAGCAATCAATAATAAAACCTGGGTAAGGAGGCTTTAGAGTCACCGTAAGTTAGAATGATAAGACAACATAAGAGACTTTTTGTTTATAGGTTTATGGTCTAAATCAGATTTTCTCTGCAGCAGCACAATTGACATTTTTGGGCCAGAAAATTATTTGTTTTAGGGGGCTGTCCTGTGTACTGTAGGACATTTAGCACTATCTTTGGCTACCGATGCACTAAATGACAGAAGCAATCCTCACCTCAATCCACCTACAGTGACAATCAAAAATGTCTGGGACACTGCTAAATGCCCCCTGGGGGTGAAATCCTCAGAGAATTAACTCACATCAACTTCGTTTTTCCTTCCTTTTTCTTGTCTTATGTGTCCTTATAGTTCTACAGAATTTTTTTTAGTCAAAACCCATAGGTAAAATATACGTGTCTTGATTATCTTCAATTACAACTTCAACTTGAATCAGTGTTCATTTCCTGTTGATACTGGCAGTAGACTCAATGGCTTAATCATATTACAAAATTGAAGCTAGATACCGTTACAAATTTCTTTGTCATTAACAGACTCTGCAAAGAGGCATCATAACCAGATTTTCAAATGTCATGGGACTGTAAGATGATCATGCAACACGAAAGCACATGTGAGAAAATGACTGCAAAGTGTCATATGCATGACTGCATACACAAAGCGTCTTACTGAAAATAAAGTGACAGGTGTTAAATGCCAAGTAAAAAGCCAGCAAGAAATTAACAATCTAACTAAGCCTTCAAAAGGTAGCGCACATTTCTCTTTAACCTGGTTCTTACCAAAAAGAAAGCATTCGTGTTACAGGCAATTATTTTTCAATCACAGGATGTTGAGCAATAATGATTTTTCCAGGTAAGTATTCCAAGCTTGACAAAGTACATGTCTGGAGAAATATCACCTAGAAATACCACTTGTTTCATGTTTGTAAACATTTACAAACATGTTTATAGATATGAAACAAGTTCTAGATTAAAAGTCTATACTCAATCCAATTTCAATTTATTTTTTGTTTTCATTGCAGATCATTGGTAACTGATAGAATATTTTTTTTAATCCTATACAATAGATTTTAATTGCAAGTGGTCTAAAATGCACTTGAGTTTTGGAAGGCCCATCTGCATTACTTTCTATCATTTGACAAGTCATGTATTATTCATCAGCCTCAGTTTACAAACAACCTTGCTCTATTTGTGTTACCTTAGCAGTAAACTGCATAGTGAACAGCCTTTAAAATAAATAGTATACTATACAAGCAGCAATCCTGAAATAGTCTCCAGAAGGCATTTGCTGCTCCCGGCAATAGCCCAGAAAAATCCTTAGCTTGCTGAGCTTTGGCATTTCATTTCTCCCTTCCTTAACCCAGTGATACACTGTGTCCCTAAGGGGAAACACGGACAGTCACTGAAATAGCTGTACGTGTTTACATTCCCATCAAGTATTTGTGCTCAGTGTACTTGTACACCCGTTAAGAAAAACAACCTGCTTATGTCATAAAGCCTTATTTACCAAGGAAAATTCCCCTGAAAGTTATCATTCAAAATACTTGAAGCTGCAAAGATTTTTCATCAAGTGAAAACAGTTTTCCCACGATGAACTGAGATTAGCAGATGCTTAAGTGTCATGCTAAAAATTGCCTTGTTCGCCCTCCCTGACAGAAATGCTGTAAGCACACATGAGGAACCAGATAGGAGATAATGTGCCTTTGCGTATGCAGCACACTGAAAGCCTGCTGGGAGTCTGATTTTTTTAATCAGTGGCTGAGAAGTACTTGCAATTAGTTGCCCATCGCTCAATTACATCTTTGACATTGACAGCGGCTACATTGCTTTAAATAGTAATTTTAGTAACTTCCAAGATCTCCAAACTATCAAAATTATCCAAAGCTATCAAAATTAGAGAACCTGAGAGATGAAATAAATCCCAGGAGGGGAAGATACTTAGCTACTAAGGCTTAGGCGGATTAGAATACTCAACATACTTAAATTGTCTTCTTGCTAAAAAGCTATTAGCAGTTAGATTCACAAAGTTACAGAAAGTTTGATATGAAATATTAAGATGTAGCCACCTGGTTAGTCTCCACTAAGAATTAATGAGTCTACATACAGTGAGTGTGTGATATAAGTAAAAGAAGTTTTTACTTTCACCCTATTAATCTAGAAATGGAAAATATTTTCAGAAAGTTACTTTTATAATATTTTCTGTCTACCAGGTGACTAGAGTTAAACGACAGCACAGTCGTCCCTTGGTTCTAGGACGTCTATCTATGACACGAAGGGCCAACTGTAGACAGAAACTGGAAATGAGATATAAATACAGTCCTTGCAGAAAGATTGGGAACTACCAAGACTTTAACTTTCGCAGTTTTGGAAGGCCAGTTCCGCTCTTCAACGCAGCCAAATCACAGATTTTCACCCTAACCAGGAATCTTGAAAATGTTTCCAAATTCTAAGGAAAGACTAACACTACTCACCATCCCAACTAACAAAGCACCCCTTGAGCTAAGAGTATATGGATAATGTCAACTGCATGTATCCCAGCCTCAAAGTAAATGCTAATACTCTTTTTCATAGATTTTCTAAAACATAGTTATTTGGGCTCTGACAACCAGAAATGAGAGTTTGGGTCTATGCAGCCATCAGATACCAAAATAAATACACCTAATCTTGGGCAAGTGCTTTTCTTTTAATCAACTCCTTAAAAAAAAAATAAAAGGACCTGAATTTTCAACTTCTAATAAAACAAACTACTGCTGTCATATAGCACTTCATGCAATAGGCACTCAGACACAGAAATATAACCATTAGGCTGAAGAATTAAGAAAAGTTTCCCATTTTTTAAGTCTCATGCACAGCACAGAGCATCCCCATTTAGTGACATGCCAGGACAGAAGTGCAACGACGTATTACACCAAGGACAAACAATAGGCAGAGATTTTTTGTTTTTTACTGTGAACCAGAAAACTTACCCATTCTCACCATAAATCTTTTGAAAGAGTCTAAGAAATCAGAAAACCAAAAATTAAAAGTCATTTTTTTTCTTGTTGCGTTAGTTTCTAAATGTTCAACATCATTAAGAGTCGAACTAGAGATGGACAAATCTCAAAGAAGGTTGCCTCTTCAGTCACATTCTCGATTATCTCAAATTCTCATTGATCTCACATCTCAAGGAGTTCAGATTAAGGATTTCCTGATTTCCCCTGAATCAACAAGTCCATTTTTTAAAAGCTTCCTGTTGCCAGGAACTAATAAGAAGTTAGATTTAAATCTACTAATTTTATTTAACCTAATATTTGTCCATCCCCAAGTTCAACAAACTAAACACCCATTAAAAGGCAAATTGCATTACACATAAATGCAGGCTCATTATCAAATGGCCATAATTACACATATGTAAAGTGCAACAGACAGCAAATAACATCCATGCATTTTAATAAAATTTGCACTGAACTTTAAACCATAAATTTTAAAAGCTACACATTGATAGTCAAGAAACCTAGGTCAAAATAAAAAATCAAAACCAAGTTAAATGAAACTTGCAATGCCATATTTTAAGGGAAATTTTTACCCAAAAATCATATACTTTGAAATATGAGAAACACATGAAACCAAACTACAACCAGACTGTTTCAGAAATGCCTGGACAGGAGAATAAAAGTCTGTAAATGTAAGTGAAAATCATTTCCATGAAACATCATACGGCAGAATAGTATCATAGTCTTCCTCAAGGCCAAAGGCAAAGTTTGTGTAGACACCTTCTTAAACGGATCTCAGATAGATGATTTTGAGATGTGCAAATATGGAATTGCACTTTTTCCATGAAATGATGAAAGGTTTCTCAAAGCAAAATCAATTTTTTTTACAGGAAGCTTCAAAACGGCTCATGACATGCAGGGTTGGGCAAGACGAAGCCACTTACTCACACAAGGAAAGTCACACAAGATCATCCATTACAAGCCACATCCTTGCAGAAACACACTCTGACCTCTCAACCATCAGCCGCTTCTTGTGCCTAAGCCTGCTGGCCTCCCGGATGGCCTCCCACTTCTGTAAGTCCGCCGCACTGCAGGGACCAGGCATGAAACTGATGGGAGGCACAGTTGTTCCCAGCTTCCAAGACTGGATCTTCCGAGCCAACATGTCATCTTTTTCCTGCCTACATGAAGGAACTAACAGTCTACAGCTACTACTTTTTTCTTTGGGTGGGCATGTCCTTTCAAGGACACAGAGAAATTTTGCTTGAATTTCCGGAGGCAGAGTCCAGGGGTCAGGGAACGGGACTGGCTGGTATCTATCCGGGGCCCCCGACAGAGGCACCTCTTTCTTCTGTGCTGGAATGCGGCGAACAATCATATCATCTTTTTCTAGGTCTGGAAGTACAAGTTCACCTTCCCGACACTGCAGAATTATATCTCGCTCGACAGGATCATCTTGCTCAGAGAGTCTTCTCAAGTCTTCAAACGCCCGGACCACACACGGATTTGCATGGAAAGCCCCAGTCTTTCTGACAAAGAAATCATCATTCTCTAAGTCAGGATCCAGGGCTGCCATCTCGAGGTCTTCTGGTCTATACCCTGGTGCGTAAGAGAGGTTCTTTCTGCGTGTTATGAGCCTTGGGCCAGCAGTGGGATCAGTTTTGACATTTGTTTCAGAAGACAGGATGTCATCAGAGTATGTCTGGAGGGCCTGAAGCAATAGAAACTGACTGAAGCATAGAAAAGAGAAAGGAAGGGAGAATCTTATTAAGTTTGGGGAGAAAAGGTAATTAGGCAGCCAGTCACTGTGGGTGAACTCTTTTAGGGTGCCATGGGAGGGACTCTTGCTGGGAGGAAAAGACTAGCGTTTAACGCCATCACCCGTGACTCTCCTTTTACCATTTACAGAAATAAGAGTGGAGTGTACTTCTCAGGAAAGGCGGGCACCACTGAGGCCAAGTGATGGAGCCAGAACATGAAGAGAGTCCAACTCCCTGATACACAGTGTTCCCTTCACCCCTTCCTCATTCCACTGGCAACAATGACCAAACCCCTTGCCCTGAGAAGCAGCAATGTTCTCGGAAAGTTCCAAGAGCTGAGCAAGGAGCGCTTTACGCAACAGGCACAGGTAGTCCACAGAAATTAAATCAATGCTCTGAAGCTCTCTAAAAGCCTCTGATTAATCTTTTCTTTGCATTTCCCACCCATCTTGCCTGTCCCGGTGTCTGTCTCCAAGTTATTTCCTTTCTCCATAGCTCCACACACAGCACAACTGCAAAATTAGGCCAACTTTCTAAAAAGCCTTTTAAAAATGGTTTTCCAAAAGGACTAACTATGCCACCCATAATTATACACTCTCTGGTACACACTTGTGCTGAAGAATATTTCATCCCCTAGCTTTGCGAGCTCATACTCCTGCGCAGAAAGCATTATGTTACACATTATGCTTTTATAATATTAAGTGAGTGAGGGCTCCTGATTCAGCGCATCATCATCAGAGGTTAATGTGGTAGCAGAACTTGGCACAGGTGTCACAGGCCAGACCCCCGGCAGGCGGGCTCATGCAGACAGGTGCACCTGGGCTCATCCGCAGCACCACTGGTTCTCCCGGCTGCATGGGTGTCCCGGGAGTTTCTGGCCCGTTTGATAGCCAGTTCCAGCAAGAGTGAACATCTTTGACAGTTGCTGTCTAGCCTGGGATCTGCGTTTTGTATTCTACTAAAAACGACGGGGCTTCTGTCAGAGCCTGAATCCTCATCCTCAGAGCCTGAACTCCTTCTACCGTGGAGTGAAGCAGAGAAAGGAAAGAGGAAAGAAAACAAAGGATTGGAGAACAATGTAACTAAAAACAAGGTCAAGCTATGACTGTGCAGAGAAGAGGACTTTTTAGGATCCAGATCCCAAAGTTTAAATTTAAACAGCATTTTTTTTTTCAGTTAGCAGGTCTATAGAGGTTGGAAGGAAATTAACCTCGCTCATAAAAAGCACACAGAGAATGTACCCCGCCGGGGTACTGAGTGGACACTGGGATAAAAGAAACATGCACAGAGACAAACCTGAATCCCTGAAATTCTTTATACCAGGGTTTATAAGTTTCCCTTTTTATTCGTTTCCAGTTCACATCTTCTGGGATCCAGCATTTGGGAAGAAACTGATCAAAAGCATTCCCTGGGCTTGGCAGGATTGGACTTAGCTTTCGCACATAAAGGTCATCCTTTACAGTGTTGCGTGTGCTTGTCTTTTCTTCTTCCTCTTCCAAGTAACAAGAGGAGTTTGAAGTGTCTTGTGCTGTTGACCAGTTCTCCACGTTTTTTCCCCAAGCTCTCCTCTTGTTACTGTTCAAAATATCCAACCAGTTAAGATTCTGCGTGAGCAATTTGTGACACAGAACACAAGAGGCATGCTTTCTGTCTCACAAAGTTTACACCACTGTGGATGCAGCCAATTAGTTCCCATTCTCATCACTCCAGCTCCTACAACAAAGTTAAGGCATTATAACAGCATCTCATTTTAATTAGAGAACAGCTCAATACAGAAGGGCCAAAGACAATTATAAAACGTGTTAAAAGAGAGAGAGACAAATTGCAAACAATCTGGGGTGTTACTTTATGTATCAAACATCAATAGCATAATCGACATTCCGATCCAGGAGAAATTTTTCTGACCTCGTCAATCTGTATAGCCCAGTGGCTAATGGGTCAGCAGGAGAAAAGATGTGAGAACAAGACTTAGGAGACGTGGTTTTCGAGATGAAACCCTCAGGCCGCTTTCTCACTTGGAATCTACGGTTGGCTAAGTCATCCAAAACTACATCAGGCAACCTTCGTTCCTCCTCGGAGTCCGATCCACTTTCAGAACCGTAGACCTCCTTCTGATAGGAAGCTGGATTTGAAAAATCACGCTCTGCTCTGCTGATTTGATGGGAAATTAAAGGATTCTTTTTGTGCCCGCTGAGCTCAATCAACACAGGGGAAAAAAAAATGGAAGAAAGCGACACAGCAGAGCTCACAACGAACAATGTAAGTCATCCAGGAAGCTGAAAGATAACCAGTGAGCTAAGGCATGCATCTAAAAAAAGAACCGGCAAATCATATGCTGACATTCTAAAGGGAAGAAATCTCTTCAAGAGATGGATGACTAAAAATACAGGTAAGAGAAAGAAACGTTTTCATTAACGAAGTTTTACGTTATCTATGAAATGCATTCTAAGGGCCATTCCTTTCACCAAATTTAAATACCCCAGCAAATTCACAAAGCATACTGGATTTTAAAACTCAATCGTCAGCTCGCATCCCAGTACCTTGGAAACGTTCCGTCTGCGTCTGTGTAGGCTGGGCTTGCCCAGCTTCTTCTGTTATCCTCGTTTTTGTCCAGCCTTTTCTTCCTCAAGGGCGCCGGCACATAGGACGGCTGTCTGCTCTTGTTGGGTAAAAAGCGATTGAATGGTAAAGCAGACTTCGGTTCAATAGCTGAAATCCTTCGATAGGACATGTCATCTTTATTGTGATCCTGCATTTTGAATGTAGATTCAGAATCTGTGTCACTTTCACAACCTATTTAACAAATAAAAAAGCACAAGCATTTGCTATGCTCTCCAGATTATTCGTCTAACCGAAACCCACACAGCCCGCCTGCTTTGTCCTCCCCTTGGAAACCCAGTGCTCTGCTGCTAACTGCATGGAATATTTTTAGACATTTGTCATGAAGTTGTGATAAGATCCATTAGGAGGAACTTGCTTTGCATACTGGAGGCTCAGGCAGGACTTTCTTTCACTGTTGCACGTTCTAAGCAGAGAAAGTCCCATTTATGGCTGGACCGCTTTTCTTCTCCAATCTTCCTTGCCCTTGTGATTTTTTAAATAACATTTCTTGATGGAATATATGTGAATAAAATCCAGCAATTGAGTCAAAGACGCCTAAAATGAGATCTAAAAGTAATCTGAGGGAAACTCAGTCATTTAAAAGAAAGCATGTAGTCCTGTAAAATTTCTGTGAGGTGACAGACAAGGGAAGATGAAGAAAGAGATGCAAAAAGCACAAGAGCACAAAGAAGTTTGATAGATCCTTGTGAAACCCCTGTGAGGAAGGATCACACATTCGATATGCGGTTGGACTGCATGATTTCTAAAGTCCCCAAGGGATGTAAAGTCTTACGCCTAAATGAGAGCACAGAACTCAAGGCATTTTCCAACAGTGGTCATGGAAATACTGGGAACCCTGTATTTTGATTCAACATCATTTACAAAAAATTTTAAAAGAATACACTTTGATACACCTCAAGGTCACATAGATACAAACACTAATCTGTTCTCAAAAAAAAAAAAAGTCAGTCTGTTCTTTTAAAGACCACAGGAAGAAAAGAGGGAATAAAACACTAGCACAGATACCAGCTGAGTCTTCTCCTTTCTTGCCCTTTTCTTCTTGCCCTTGCATATTTGTAAAGGAAGTTTGCACATGTTTCCACCAGAGCTCTCAGAGGCCAGCTGTGCCCAGCACCTGAGTACCCGAGAGCCGGGGGCTCCCAGCAGAACACCCGCAGGGTAAACCAGAGCAAAAGCCCATCTTGTCTCCTCCCATCTGCGTGGCAGGAATCCACAGTCAGTACCACTGAGAGTAGCCTACCAGAAGTAGTTTAACACACAGCCATGAGCTCTGGAGACCAGAACAGGGAAGGAAAAGTCAAGGCAAAAAGGGAGGGAGTATAAGGAGCCATGACTGGGAGGATTAATAGTCAATCCACTTTATTTTTACTGCCTCCTAAATAAGTACACTTTTTGGATATAAGAGAGAGACGTCAAGGATTCTTGCCAAAATTTTGTACATGTGAAATTTTAAATACAAAGATTTTTGGATGTTGAAATTTTTTTAAGCTAATGTTTTTTTAATTTGTGAGTGCACTCCAGTATCCTGCAGAGTAGGCAAATATTCTTGATATGGTAACAGGTGTGGATGAAAAATGTCACCTGCTGTATCAGTAAAAGGATGTTGCAGCCATCGAGCCATCAGCCACCACAACCTCTCCAACTGTGCAGCCTGAGGGAACTCAGGATGGGGAAGAGCAGGATATGGCCCCAGATAGTTAAGGTGCAGATCAAAGAAATGATTTCAATGAGCCCAGACTCTTGCATCTTCCCATACATAGAGAAGCACTAAATTCATTAACTTGAGATAGCCGGTTTTTCTTTAACAGTAATCTTTTGATGTTCCAACTACCTGGTTTTTGTTTTTTGTTTTTCAAAACTCCTATATATCCTGTTTCCTTCCTCACCTCTTCGGAGCAGTCCCTCAGAGCTATCTGAGAAGCTGTCTTCCGGGCTAAGTTCTCACCAAGTCTGTCAAATAAAACATAATTCTCAACTTTTAGGTTATGCTTTTTTTTTTTCAGTTGACAGAGGCTTCCTATAAAACTAAGGAATTTGATTTGCAATTCTGTTAACCTAAATAGAATATCTTATCCTCAATATTATACTGATCATCAATTCAGGACTACAACCTGGTAGGCAGCAGACCTTCAACATACTGATCACAAAAAAAGTTTTCTCATGCTGGTGGCCCCCAGGGTTTTCTTTGTTTTTTTTGTTTTTTTTTTTTTTTTCCTTCTAGGTCTTCACTTCCACACTCTTCAAACAAGGACTACAACTCCTTTCCCAAGATCAGGAAGCAGCGTGACCCTATGCTTTTCATCACAAGGACCCGACACCCAGCTCAACAAGTATCTGTGGAGAGGATTTCAATTCACACCACTGGACCACTGCATTTGAACTGACTGGAGTCTGTATATTCCCACATGCCTTCAGTGTGTGTCCCTTTTATTTGTTGTTGGCCAGATACAAATTTAAACATTGCACGTGTTAGGTTCTTCAGTCAGGACAAAGTAATATAGTGGGTTGAGAATTTCAGCCTCTGTTTTTACAGCTTTTAATCATCCAGATGAATTATAAACTCAGACTCATTTCCTTAAAACTATCATAATAGTCATCTAGGCTATGAAAATGTTACACCTAGATAGCAAACAACCAACAAATCCAGCAGTAATTACAAAGGGTCACTCTTAAATAGCCATTCACTTTTTAAATTTTTAAATGCTTCTACTACTCTGAAAGGTAAAGGATTTGGCTTTAGTTTTATTTTTGAAGAAGAAACTCATTGTAACATTGCTTTCCTTTGTAAATTTACATTAAAAGATCAACAGCAAATAAAGGTTGAATTCTAGCTAATGATTGCAAGCTGAAGCATTTAGGACAAGTGTAAAGTACTCTGAAGTGACTCAAAAAATAAGATGGATAATTAACGCATAGAGAAAGAGTTAGGTATGTGATAAAGCAAGCATGGCAAAATGTCATGGTGGAACTAGGTGGCGGGTACATGAGTATTCACTAAAATTCTTCCAACTTTGCTGATGTTTGAAAGTTTTTCACACTAAAAACTTTAGATAAAACATTTAAAAATTTAAAAAAATCAAAATAAGCAACGTAAAATCTCTAATAATCCAGCACAAACTCACAAACAGAACGCTCCATTTTTTCGCGTTGATGGTGGAAGGACAGAAATATTTCAAGAAACTTCACTTGTGGTTTCAATCTTGTCAAATCTGAACTGCGAGGTATACAGTCAGAAATCTCTGACCCCATTCAGTAGCCACAGGAAGAAGACTTGCATTTCAATAACAGATTTGACCATGATATTGGGATTTTGAAAGAATGCTCCTTCTCACAACAGAATGACATTCACTCACGTGTTGCTTTCACACGACATCCTGGGTTTACTCTGAGCCTACTGAAGCAAAAGATGTTTTCTGACACAACGCTAGTCTTGTTACTTATCTAGCAAAGTTTAGCATAACACTCTATCACGACAGATATCAATCATTTCTTCTTTTGGATAGAGGTAATTATAAAAATATTTTTCCTAGTAAGTGTGGTCAGTCAGACAAAGACAAATATCATATGATATCACTTATATGCAGAATGTAAAAAAAAGATTCAAATGAATTTATTTACAAAACAAAGAAATTGACAGACATGGAAAACAAACCAATGGTTACCAAAGAGGAAAGGAGAAGAGGGAAGGGATAAATTAGGAGTTTGGAATTAGCAGATATAAACTACTATATACAAAACAGATAAACAACAAGGTCCTAATGTATAGCTCAGGGAACTATATTCAATACCCTGCAATAAACTGTAATGAAAAAGAATATGTAAATGTATGACTGAATCACTATACTGTGCACCAGAAACTAACACAAGAGTGTAAATCACCCATACTTCAATAAAAAATTTAAAAATAAAAATATTTTTCCTGGTTTTTCTTAGCAGCTTTTTATCTTTTGCAGAAAAGCAAGGGAAAGAAGAAAATCATTCAGGAACTAGAATAGACTTTTATACAATCCCATTTACTTTCTTTTTTATGGTTAGAATATACTGCATATTAGGCCTCAGACGCACAGATTATTAAACCTAAATCTAGAGAGACAAGAATTAGGATAGATTATCACTGATAAAATAGGTCACAGTTAATTGTTTCCTCCCCAGACTTCTCTAAGAACAGAGATTTTTTTTTTAAGTGAAACTAAATGAAACTATCACCCCTCTAGTGGCAATATAGTGAGGAGGAAATAAGAGAGAAAGACAGGGAAGGAAGGAAGGAAGGAAAGAAGGAAGGAAAGAAAAGATACCCCTAATTATATTTCAGTACCTATGAAAATCTTCTTCTTGGTGAAATTTTTGCCTCTATAGTTTTCACTCCATTTTTGTCCTCTCTCCCATTCCCAAATTTCTCTCAATATGCAAAAATACAAATAAACTGACAGTCTAAAATGCAACCCACCTTCACGCGGCCCCCTCAACGTGGTATCAGAGGAGCAGCTTGTGAGTGACCTGGACCCCAGAGAGTCCAAGCTTTCAAATGAATCTTCTCTCTTATGGTTGCCTGGAGGAGCAGGGAATTCTCCACGCTCAGCACACCAGATATCACTGTAACCACTATCCCTGCCACTCCTTTTCAGGCAGCTGGAGTCTTCAAGGGCCTAAAAAAATTGTGTAAAGAATAGTAAGATAGCATAAACTTCCAAAATGCAATCAGTTATTACTTGCTTGCATAGCTCAAGTTGCACCATATTTGACAAGTGAGGCAATGAGATTTCCTTGTTAAACTTCAGAACAAAATCTGATAAAAAGCAGAATATAAATCCATAAAGTTTTCCCATAACTAATACTTGCCACTCATGTAACGATAGGGAGGTATTCAATATTATTTAATAAAGGAATATAGTCTATTTAAAAATAAGGGGGAATATTTTAATAAAAGAAAATCTATGAAAAAGAATAATATTCAAATGCTAAAATCAGTTTTTGGCAATAAACATGAAAGGAGTCAAAGAGAAAACCAACTTTAATTCTGATATCCAAAAGGAAATAAGTTAATAAGGTTATATTCAGCCTATGTCCAGGAAATATTAGGGGTCATTTCTACTAAACAAACAAAAAATAAGAAGTTCCTTTAACAAAAGAAAAGTTTTAAAAGAGAGAGTGGGAAGAAAGCAGGTACACACTTTACAGATTCATTCATTTTCACAGATTTTGAAACCTAGATCTGAACCATGGAAAGCAGACTTGTTTGTTGACATATAAAACATCTCCTCTGGATCTAAATAAAGTATTTGTTTGACTCATGTAAGAGTAACATAGAACTATAGTCAATGTTATTAACTATAGGTTTGTAAATCATACAGAACTTACTAAAAGAAGCATTTTAACTAACATTTCTCTAGGAAAGTTAGTAGCAAAATACAACTAGACTTCTTAAAATAAGCATTTAAGTAAAATTTATAAAGCCCTTAGCATAGTCCTAATACATAGTAATCAATGAATAGCTAGAAACTCTGTAATGATGAAGGTAATTTTGTCACTATAGTAAAAATCAGAAATGTTACTTCCAGATGAATATACCTACAGAGATAGGAATTCCTGGTTCTTTAACAACCAAATGTAATACATGAACCTTCAACAAATCATTATTCAGATAAAAAGCTTCAAAAAAAGCTGGGAGACAATTTGGACGTTCTGACTATGACCTGGATATTAAATAATGGGGAATACTCATCAATGTTCTTAAGTACAGTAGATACTGTACAGACATGGAAGAATATTCTTAACTGTTAAGAGACATCTGCTGAGTATTTAGGGGTGAGTTATGTGCAGTTTACCTTAAAATGACTATGTAAAATCACGGATAGATACACAAACAGTCAATATGGGACATGTTTAGTAATTAAATCCAATGGTACATAGCTGGCTGTTTGTTGGATTTTCAATTTTTAATTATGAACATTCTCAACATATGAAAAAGTAGAGAAATGAATGTTTACAATAAATAATTAGCAGCTGTCTCAGGCATACTTTTGGTTAAGACTCGATGCCAATTTGTGGTTGAATTGTTTGACAAGTGTTTAAGTGCCAATAAAGTCTGGTAGATTTATGTGCGATTTCATATATTTCAGATGCTGCATGCCCTGGAACAGAGTTGACATCCTGTCAAGAAAAAGCAAGTGTCTACCTTGTACCCTATTTGCAAGCAGATGGGGAAGATGGGGCCGGCACTAGGACCACCAAAATACTTCTCAAAATACATAAAGATTTTAAAGTTTTAAGTAAATCTTTAGATTCATCAAGGTTCTTGGACACATCCTGTTGAAGCCTTTTAACTCACAGGAGATGATTTTTGACCTCATAAATGTTAAAGTTACAGATGACGTGCCACCACAGTTATAGAAGAACTTGAGTTTGGCCCTGTTTCCTGGTCCCCACACCCACCCTCACCAAGGGTCACTGCTTGTCATTTAGCTGACAAGTCACCTAAAATGAGTCATCTACAACTTATTGGATGACTCAGGTTCAACAGCTTCCTGCAATATTTTTTCTTAATTTGTATTTTGGATTGGCCAATAAGCATTACCTAGTTAAGGGAGCGATGTACACTGCACATGATGATTTTGATTTCAAAAGAACAGGTGCCCAACACCTCATATATTCACACACTTCTCAGGGCCCTCCACCCTCTGCAATAACAGAATGGAACCACAGCTATGGTTTTACCTATCAAAAATTATTTTTTACCTGGTTTCAACTCTGGTGACAGGAAAAAGCTTTCACTAAGGCATTCCCAGCACAAACACTCTACTAGGATTATTGGACCTGAGTCACACTGCCATAAAAAGAACCAAAGGCTGCAAAGAGAACACTAATGCAGGAGCCCAAGTCCCATGTTATTTTTACATGGGTGTGTTCTTAGCTGACGTACCAGGAAGGCAAAGCTCTGTTCCTGCTCGAAGCCCCTCCACACCAGTCTGTCAGGGCTACGCCCTCCTCCACTGCACTGACCCTCATCTGTCCACGTCGGATAACCTGCTGTGAGGTTGGGCCACTTGCTTTGTGCGAGTGTTTCCCCAACACTTAGTATAATGCTTGCACACAATACTATCTCAACTATTACCTGAATGAACTCTTTTAAGGAATTTAAACAGGGCACTATCGACTCATTCCAATTCAAAAATAAAAACCTGGAGGGAATTCCTTAACCTTCTAGACTCTATAATCCCATCTTTATCTCAGGTACGTGGCTGGGCTCAGGCAAGATTATTTAAGGATGGGGTAGTTAAAGGGCAAGGTGATCATTTTCATCCTGGCCTAAAACTTCTATCTTCCAGTCATAGTAACTAATATTTGTTACATCCTTAAAATATGCCAGAGACAAATGGTAAATGCCTTCCTGATACAGCATCATTTAACCATCATAAAAACCCATGGAGCAACTACTGTTAATTAGATAGTAACATATTATTTTGACAACACATTTTCTTCTGAGCACTGCAAATTTCCCTTGCATAAGTACCCCCATAGAGAAGTTAATTTTCCCATCTGAATCTTACAAATGAAGATTTGGCTGGCTACGGTCAGCCCTGGCACTCGACTCTTTTCAGTCTCTAAGCATTCGAACGTTGCGACACTGATTCCAAGATATAGAGTGTGTTTAAAACAGAATAGTCAAACTTTAAAACTCTATCACATTTTACATCACAGCATTTACTACTCTTTAGGAAACAGAAATAGTATGGTAGAATTGTGGGGATACTAGTGAGAGCATAGAGATATAATGGCCCATGACAAGATATTATTAAGAAATTGAGTAACTTCCACACATTTGAATAGCCCTAAAGCAGCTCTCTATGACAAGTTGAGTTCATAATGAATATAGAAACAGTTAGGTTATATAAAGTGTCTAAGAAAGAAAGTAAATAAGGATTCTAAAATTAAGAAATAAATTCCTATACGCATATCATATACTCTGGAAACTGCTTTGAAATAGATTCACTTACTCCTTCGTGGTGGCACACGAAGCCAGCCAACGAGTAAATCCTCCCCGCCCAACCCAATGGGAGCCACCACATTTGTGACAGAGAGAAGTGGAAGGCAGAGGGCACGTGGAAGGGGACGCTGGGGGGAAACATTAGTTACAGTAGTTGTCTCATACAGACAATCATTTCCTTACCTTAGTCAGAGCTTGTCCTAAAAGATTCTCAAATGCTTTCAAATTAAGACAGGGACCATTATAGTAGGGGTTACTTTGCGCTTTTCTTCCCAGCCAGTACAAAGTTATCAAAACCTGTTAAAAAAAAATCCATAAATCAACAAGATCAGTCTATTCAGTGCCTAATGGCAAACTACAACTCAGGTGAGCACTCTAGATCAAAGTGAGCATATCTATCTGTGGTTGAAAAGATTTTCTTTTAAATTATGAGGAGAAGTGTCATTAAAATTGTTAAGTCTTCTTACATTTCCATCTCTGAGCACATCCTCAGACCAAAAGCCTAGAGTCCGACAGGTATTTGCACTTTCTACTAGCACATATGAAGAAGAAAAACATTTAAAAGGGAAAAACATAAATCATACTTTTAAGGCAATATTTTTTTCAACAAACTTACAGACTACACACTTAGAATCAGTAAGTCTCAGCTTCCTTAATAAGGATATCAACCTCATGTTTTTCAATAAAGCTGTCACATTTTAAGAAATTCCTCTAATATGCAGAATATTATAGATAAAAGTCTGTGTTAAGCAATTATCCAGAGTGCTTAAATACTTAGTGTTTTTCCTTAAATTCTCACTTGGTAGTTTCTGACTTACTCTCCTAAAAATCCTGCCGTGTGTTCATTTGCCTTTACCATGTTACTGACATATAAGGATCCAGTCCCTAGATTTAACCTACCTTCTTATGAGGTCAGAAAATACATGTTTCAATCATATTTAAACATATTTAGTGTCTGTTCCTAGCAAAAGTTCCATTAGTAAAAGGATAGAGAATATATCAGGTAATTTTAGATCCCACTACCTTATTACAAAACATGTAAGTAAAAACCCATTTATAATGTTCCATTAAATACATCTTACATTTTTCACTCTCCTGTCAGTCTCTTCTTGCCTGTAAAGAAAAAAGAAAATGCCTATTAAGTAATATCTATGAACCTCACATTGTTAATTATTAACTAGAAAAAACTCATTTTTACTCTAAAGTCCTATGAATATTAATACCACCTGGAAGTTCAAAAACCTTAGGCAGTGTATTATCCATCAAAAGGACTTTTCTATATTCACTGGTTTCATGCAATAGAATGGTCTGCTTTCTATAAAAAAACAAAGTTGTCTTTCTTCATTATTCTATTCATTACAGTCTGATTTTTAAAATGCATTATTTACATTTTTGTATTTTCATTTTAAACAATGTTTAAACCCAATCAAAAGGGGGGGGAACCAATATGTGCTCATGGCAGGAAAAAAAAACAACAGGAAACAGGAGTGAAAAATCTTAAAGAGAGGGAAGAAAGTAATCTTGCACCAAGTTTTCTTTTCCATTATGCACAGAGGTTTTTAACTCAAGTTTCCCAGACAAAACTGCTCAGAGACCCACCCCCTGCTGATGTTGAAAAGTGGGGTTTAAAAAATAGCCAGGAATCTCTGCCTAGGAGATTTCGCTCTATTACAAGAATCAAGTGTTTTTCCCCTCACCTGATAAAGGGTCATGGGTTTTGTAGGAAAATTTAGAGGCAGACGTCACCATAATGTTGAAGATGAAAAAATATGAGTTAATTAACAAACAGATGGGTCACCCTAAACCAATGGTACTTTCCATCAGAGACGTAAGCCAGATCCGCGGTGCTTCAGAGAGATGGAGGAGCCTGAGCTAGATGAACTCTTAACACCGCTTTCCAGTCTGAGAGTCATAGGCAGTATGTGTATAAGGCAAAATAGACACTCACATATTGTACGTGTGTCAGACATACAGAACACACACACATAGCATACGTACACAGGGAGACAAAGGAAAGGGGGAGAGAACGAGCACACAGAGACACATATTTAACTTAGTTTTCAAAGAATCTATGAAGACCACTATGACCATTCCTCCCCCTAAAACAAACATGAACTGAAATGAACAGTACACGCCTCCCACCTGCTCCTGAAATAGCATAACAAAAACAAAGCTCCCACATGACTGTGGAAAGGTAAATCGGCACAGCTACTTGAACACATCTGGTAGCGTCTGTTCAAGCTGAACACACGCTGAGTCTATGACCTAGAATTCCATTCCTAGATACACACCCAACAGAAATGCTTACAGATGTTCTCCAAGTCGTACAGGAGCACCTTTATAGAAGCACCATTTGCAATAAAATAAACAGGAGCTATACCTCTGTCTTTCACAGCAGAATGGGTCAATTACAGAATATCCGCACAATGAAATATTCCATAGCAATCAGAACAAACAACCTGCAACCACACGGTTCAATCTCACAAACAAGGGGAAGCAAAAGAAGGCAGGCAGAGTACAGACTATGCCATTCATCCATGTCAAGCACAAAAACAGGCTTCCCAAATGTGTGATGTCAGAAGTCAGGACAGCGGTTACCCTTGTCGGGGAGGATGGACGTGACTGGAAAAAGGTGAGGGGCTTCTAGGGCGCCGATGATTTCTTATATGTTGATCTGGAAGTTGGCTACACAAGTGTGTTCCAAGTCTAAACTCTGTGAATTATATATTTCTAGTATGTTTCATTTTCTATATGTATATTACACGTCAAAAAAGGCAAATAAATTTCACAGCCCTATTGCCTATATCATAGCTTATCTCTTGAGTAAAAAGAGATTTTTTTAAAAAAAAATCAGCATTTAATTTTAGAAGTAAGGAGGATGTCTAGAAGCTGACAATATAAATAATGGAGTTATAAAAATATATAGCCTCTGTTTATATTAATGACCAACATACACACCTCGGCTACTAACCAAAGCACAAAAGAACCATCAGTCCTCAATGCAAAAGACATACTAGGCTGACAATCACAGTATTATGAACATTCAGTGCAAAGCACCCCACTTTTTTCATAAGCACACTGACAGCAGAAGGAACAACAGAGCTCACTTGAACCCCCTGACCTCCTTTCCACAGCCCTCTCTAAAAGGTTTCTAATCCAACACATCCATTCACTTTTTATTATGATATAGCAATAACTATAAATACAAGACAAGCCTTATTTTGTAATTAACACTCATAAAGCAGTGACCTTGGCACTATAACCTTTCTCTCATTTTACATTCCCTTCCGAATATGAGCATTTATAACATGCTCTTGAATACAGTGACACACGGGCCAGCCAAATTGCTGTTCTATCACTGAAATGTAATGCCAGGAATTCAAGTAGTCAATGATTTGCTGGAGTCAACAGAGGCCAACTTCTGACACACAACAAACACATGCCACCGCAGGGAAGTCAGTAACCGGCGGCTTCTTCGCCTGCTGTGGCTGCAGGCACAACCCTATGGCCTTTCAAACAGAACAAGTGTGAGGGCGGAGGGGGAGTTCACTTGACTCTCCATGAGCCACCAGAGATACTGCCCAACCCCTCAGACCCAAAAATAAGACAGTCCTATCCAGAAAGCTGTCTAATTCCCTTATAACAAATATTTTAAGAGTTGATATGGTCTAATTCCATGTATAAGAGCAGGGTCTTTGGGTCAAACGTGGGTCCCGTTGGTTCATCTCATCAAGTTACTTAACTCTCAGAGTTTCAGTTTCCTTCTGGAGGAACCAGAATGCTGTCCCCTAGATTAGTACATTATGAGAGAAGTACACAGGACTTAGCAGAGTCCCTGGCCTCATGGTAAGTGCGCATCAAGCAGCAGTGACTGAAAGTTATACAAGGGAACGCCCATCTTACTTACCGAGCTACCCACAAAGGCTTCCTGGTAAAGCTGAGTATCACTATTTAAAATTGCGACCAGCCTGTCTGACACTTCCCATCTCTCATCCCTGCTTTATTTTTGTATTTATAACCATCTACTGCATGCATTCATTTACTATCTGCCTCTTCTCCATAATCCAAAAGAAATGTTTGTGGTTTTGTTTCCTAAGCGTCCTAAGACAGAGTTTACCACCTGGAAGGCATAAAAAATATTTTATTAAAAATGCCTAGCACAGTGCATGGTACACAGAGGCTCTCCAGTATTGATCTGAATACATTTATTTAGCTTACAGAAATGTAAGTTAGCAAGAGAAAAGCAGAAATGACAAAAGCTCAGGAGACACCTGATAAATATTCACATTATGTCAAAGAACAGTTAAACTCCATGAGCTTAACTTACAACACCCAATTTTGACTTGAATTGTATTGATACTCATAGCTGAACCGCTTTTTAAGGCTATTTTCTTTAAAATTGCAATAAAGGGTAATTCTTTTTTTAAGGGAATTCTTTGTAATTATAGATCAATAACCCAAAAAAAGGCACAGATTCAAAAACAAAGGCCAGCTTCACAGTGCTGAGTACAAAGATTAAGCGCTAGTCTCTGTGATGAAAAAGCTTCCCAGTAGAGCCCTGAAAGACAAAGGCCAAGGAATCGAAATCTTTGTTGAAACCCAAATTTATCGTAAAAAGGGACAGAGATGAAACAATAACAGTCTGAAAAAATGACCATGTTGAAGATGTTGCTAGCCTTCTCGGTGTATTATACACTAATTTAAGTATTGTGTGTAATATTCAAGAAATAGCAAGTATGACACAGTTATCATCTTCCTCCCTGTTAATGGAATAGCTCAGGTAATTTCTTCACTACCTGACAAAGGGCCAGAAGATATGTACTCATCACAGAGCTCTAAACTTTCTGCCAGAAGTCAGGTAAAAAAAAAAGAGCCACAAACCCTCAAGTAAGTCCACCAATCAACAAGATCTACCTGTAACCACCTCATCCTAACAGCTTTAAGGTATACGAAGAACCAGGAAGCTCTAGGTCTGATTCCCCCTATCTTTACTCAAAGCTATTTTAAAATACTAGTACAAATCATCCATCAAAAGCACCATCTCCAATCAAAGAATCAGGGAAAGAAAATCCATACAGATGTTCTGGCCTCTTCAGGAGATCCATGCCAGGTTCTTCATTGAGGTGGCATCTCAGCTAAGAGGCCAGGCTCTGGGGTCAGACCTGCTGGGTGTGAATCCTGGCTCCACTTTACTAGCTGTGAGATCTCGGTTGTGTTATTTAATTCTGTCTCCATAGTCTCACCTGGAAACAACATACCAGTCTCACTGGGCTTAAAACCGACATTTGAAAAGTACTTAACCGAAGCAGATCAAGTAAAGGAGACATTTCAAGACTATCCTCTGATTATCCATCCCAACCACCCCATATGGTGGAAGGGGAGTGGCTGGAGGACAGTCAAGTTTCCCCACACACAACGTTTTCCCCCTAGAAGAGGCATTTCTCTGAAGCAAGGTAAAAACATTCTTTCATGTTATGCTTTCCTTTTCCTCTTTCTATGGGAGGCTTTGAAAGAGAAATTATTTCTAGAATAAGGTCAAGCAAAGGGCAAAGCAAACGAGTGTGGTATTACTGTTGTTGGCCAACCATCCATGTTGGGGCCGAGCCAGCCCTCCTCACCCGTTCTTTATCTACCAGGGACTGCCTTGGCCAACACCCTTCAATTTTCTAAAAGCTCCAAATCTGAGGGGAAAAAAATGTGGTCAAAAATCTAGCTCCCTATGTCTGATAGCACAGTTTGGGAACAGAGTGTTAAAGGATGAGATTCTAATTTTACCATAGTTTGGTGCAGCCCGCTTGTTCTAGGGCTTGAGAAATATTTCCAAGTATCTTCTGTTTAGTTTATCCGAAGAGCGAGCCCTGGGCCCACCCGTGTGCACCCAAGTCAGCCTTCCTCAGAGTCTCCTCTGGTGGACTGCGGAGACCTGGAACCCCACACCTGACTCAGAATCGTCTCCCATAGTCAACCATAGGCCTGGCTCAGAGCCACCAAGCTTTCAAATGTTCATATGGAAGTTACCTAAAGCCACTCCCAGAGCCAGTCCAGCAGACCCAGAACAAAGAGACAGAGGAAAATTTCCCCCCAAATAAAATAAAGCTTCATAGACTCTGAAA